AGGAATGGAAGAAGCTATCGTTTAACTGGCTACCGTATCTATTAGCAGTAGATCGTTAATACCTACAGATATGAACCTAGATATATTTATCGACAAAAGAGAAAAATGTTAGTAAATCATAATGAGATACTATCCTTAATCATTAAGAAAATCTCAGGTTTCCTCTACAAGAACACCTGTGATGTCGCTTTGACTATCTCATCTAGCAGCCAATTGCAGAATTTGACTACTCTAAAGGAGCGCCTACTGTCCGTTCTACTATGTCGTATCTTCAGTGTCTGGGTGCTAACCCTGGGCTTTGTGTTGGGACTAAGCTTTAGTGGATAGCAAAGCCAATCCTTTGAAGTGTTTAAGATGCTGTAAGTCACTAGGTTACCTTTGAGACGCCTGGACTAGTGATAGGGAGTGAAGTAGTTGAGCGTGTCGACCGCTTCACTTATCTCGGAAGTCTCATCAGCCCTTGTGGTTTGGTGTGTGACGAAATCTCAGCACGGATACAAAAGGCTCGACTAGCTTTTGCCAACTTGCGTCATTTGTGGCGTAGGCGAGATATCCGTCTATCAACCAAAGGACGTGTTTACTGCGCAGCAGTTCGTTCCGTCCTACTTTATGGCAGTGAAACATGGCCAGTAAGAAGAGGATATTCGTAGGTTACTAGTATTTGACCATAGATGTCTTCGAAGCATTGCTCGTATATCATGGGACCACCGAGTAAGTAACTCAGTTGTTAGGAAACGGGTACTAGGTAAGGATGGCAAATCAATTGATGAAGTAGTGAAACTCAATCATTTGAGATGGCTGGGACATGTGTTGCGCATGCCCGACCACCGACTGCCCCGACGTGCTATGTTTTATGGTGTAGGAGTAGGTTGGAAGAAAGCTAGGGGCGGCCAGACAAAAACATGGCACAAATCCATGAAGTCACTGACAAGTGGACTGAGTCATGTTGGTAGGTGTAGACTACCTGGTTGGGGACCGCGAGACGATAGCAACCGATGGTTAGAGACCTTGAATGACATGGCTCAAAATCGTTTGCAATGGCGCAGGTGCATCCACTCTTTGTGTTCTCTCAAACTCTAATCTTCTGAATTCTTCATGTCCTTTATTTTCTTTCCCAATTTATTCCACTGGACTATACTCCTTTAATAACATCATCAAACCTTAATGTCCCCTATCTCTACTTATACTTTCAGTACCTCTACCACTATGGGATTTGAATCGATAACTGAATCTCTGTGCTAATGTGGTATGGCAACTCGAACTGATGTACGTACGTACGAAGTTCCACGTTGTTACTGACTGACTTTGAGACGCCTATTCTCCAATGGATGAAGATTCAGCGGTTGGAGCAGCGCTTTATAAGACTTCAGTTTGAGTTCTTGAATTGATGTATTGGCTGGTCGTTGGATAGGTTCTATTATGCCCTTATCCTTTTGGAGTGAGCGAGGAAACATTAAGTTTCCTCATTTTAAATGGAGTCAAATTAAACTGTTGAGGATAAAATGTAAACTTTTACCATCGAACCCATTTCTTTAATTCACCGAGCGATTTTGTTTATTTATCTGTTTTTAGACTGCCTATTTTTAGGGATTTCTTACAACCATTTTCACAAAAACATGATGATGATGAGCAAATCATCAGCATTCATGCTGCATGTGCCACATGTCCACCTGCGATATGACTTACTAAGTCTGCTGACAACTGGAAGAGAGTTATAACAAAAGATATTAACTACCGAAATCAAGTGAGAGACGAAAATTACGTGCCATACAGAAAGGTAAATATTGTAACCGTTGTTTTCTATTCACTTCTAAAGAGATCACGAGCCTTTTTTGGCTCGAGAAATCCAATGCACGTGTGATGAAACCAAATAAGATAAATACTCCCGAATTTAGATTAATTTCAACAGCTTTTCAATGTACAAACGAATGTAGGTCCTAATTATTGTCAAAGACATCTATATGTAAACCCTGCAGTCTGTTAATGAAGTCAAAGATACCATAAACAATAAATAAATCCACCAGAACATTAGCTTTTGTGTCTATGATTTTGACACATCTCGGTTTCTGTAGCTTTCCTAATACTTATCTAGATATCATTTTTGAAATATTTCATTCTACAGTCAACTCAGAAGCAGCTGATGTTATTTGTTGACTCAATTATTGCTGCACAAATCCTTCAATATATTGAAGAACTTGGAGATCTTATGTTTAATGACAACCTAACAAAAAGGCCTTTGAACAAGATCTCTATTGCTTGTTTAACCTCTCTGTATCATATTTCTGCGTGGAAGATCTAGATTTAACTCCATGTTCGTGCAGGGTTCATTTGAAAGTATCTCCAGTTTGTTCTTTTCCTGATTTTACATTTTTTAGCTATTATACAAGCAGTGCATTAGGATTTGTCAGGCAAAACTTTGAATTATTCACAGTGTTCTAACATTCTCTGATACCGGTATTAATCATTTCGTGAATTCAGTCTTTATCTCATCGTTCGAAACAGTGCACTAATCACATCTCAGGTTTATCATTCTCCGTTTTAAAAATATTATTTCGTCCGTGGACTAATTTATCCAATTTTGATCATTTACACGATTTGCCCTATGACGAGTAGTTCTAGATCAAGATATAATAAATGCCTACTAACCATTGCATAACTTTTTAATCCCCCTTATTCAGCTCGATAAGAGAACATAACAAGCGTGCAAAGTTTATATCTATTTTGTAGTGGTTTTACACAAATCTAGCTCAACATAATAAAGACTGGCATAATGTAAAACTACTACAATAACAAAATGTCGGTAAATTATTGCTGATGACCTGTGAAAATTCATACATCCAGTAATAGTTTCTGAATGGTAAAAAGAATATAAAGATAAGATAACATATATATCCAGTAAACGTACAAGCAATAACTCTCAATAAGATAGTCCTATAAATTACAGCTCGTTATTCGGTGTCTTACAGTATCTTACTTCGTAACCTCTGCTATTCTTGCTTAGAAATAATCTCAGCCGAGGGAAGCTAGTATGGGATCTGCATATTTTTTAAAAGGTATTTAATGTCTCGAGTATCAACTAAAACTGTTGTATATGTTAATTTTATATCTTAAGTTATTAGAGTTTCCATAAAAGTACTTAGTTTTATTGGAAAATACTACATCTGTATTCTTCATTTTAGTTTCTAAATCATATACTGAGGATAGATGAAGCTCTTTTGACAGTTTGGAAGGTAATGACTTATTAGGAACTTGTGGTTTATCAGGAACATGCAGGATATCTAATTCATTATAGTGATTGTTGTATCCAAAACGTTTATTACTTACATTTAAAAACAAAGAACCCTTACAATTCTAACAACACGAAGTAAAATCACAAAGGACTGGTACAAGTGGATATTTATTCACTCCAAGAACACGACGAATGTAGTCGAAAATTCACTCATATATTAGTTTGTATATTCATTGACGGTTAATTAGAAAAGTTGCATAAATGAAGTTAAAGCAAAATTGCACGCTGCATGTCATGCTGAACATAGTTCACGTTAATTCAATATAAAGAATAAACATAACAACCAAATGGGTCATTGGTCTACTGAATAAGATATTATAGTGGAATTAAAACAATCGATACACTCAGCAACCATTATATTGAATAAAAGATAACGTTGTGAAAGAATCAAAACGTAATTCTGCCTTTTTCGCTGTCGTATCAGTGATTAAAGCTTCGTTTCCTAATTATTTGGAACATTTATTGCTCACCTTTGGAGGAAACTGAACCGACCTGTTTACCTAGAAGATAGAATATATTTCTTCAACAAACAGAAAAACGTCTTCCGATTGTGTCTTGTGGGTATTTTTTGGCTGTGTATAGCCGCTCAGAAACTATTCAGTGCCACTTCGTCAAGATATATGGTATTTTTGATTATTTGGTTCGACGAGTGCATAGCTATTATATCAGTCTATACAGAAGCCTAATTAATAGTCATTAGCGATACATTCAGAGAATTGAATTTACAAAATTAACTACTCCCTATAGCACTTCGGAACGACTTGCCAGACGTTAGATTTCGATGTTCTAACCTCAAATAAGGTTATAAGACTGATAATAACAGACATTTTTACGTTTAACCGTGTGCATTATAGACGAGTGTGAGACTGATGGACTGGCGATGTAACGAATGGAATGTCTAGTATCAACTTTTGTTCATGTGACTGACAATAGCACTTTTGTACTCTGGTTTCGACTTTTATGTGATGAAATCACACGAACCTCTTCCATTTGGTAACACAGGTGCGGTAACTGATAGCTCAGTTAAATTCGGACCCGGTTTCTTCGAAGAAAATTGACCTTTCATCTCGTAGCAAATAGTTTTATGACGCTTCCCATGGATTCAGTCAAACTGATCCAATAAATTTAGGTGTCTATGATTTATGGTGAACATTATATATATATATATATATATATAAATTAAGTCATAGTCATATTTAGCCTAACCACGATATCCATACGAAAAAGTTAAACCAGTTATTGTATTAGACGACAAAGATAATAGGATGAGAACTATCCTCGGTTGTTTTTAAAACGGTCGGAACTGGAAGTTCTAGTTCTTCCATAGTAAAAAACGTTTTAATAGGTCTAACCGTTAAACCTTAGTGGACACTTCGAAAAAGATCTAGTTGTCTAGTCAGTTATCAAGTTTTTGGGCAAAGTCTGAATCTAATTTCGTGAGAAAAGTACCCAAGACAGTTGAATATATTCTGGGAATAATGTATCTAAAAAATTCACTGACGTGATCCTATCATCTAATTCTGAGTATAGTTTAAAACGCTATTTTCACTGCCTTTTTAGATCATATTTTCAATATTTAATCTTAATTCTCATCAATGTAACATTATCTCAATTCCTTTGCCATTCACTTTCTAATTCTATATCGTTGTACTGAACTGTTATGAACATGTGGGCTAACCCACATTCGTATCAGGGTTTATATTGATTATGTCTGATTAGAAAACTTTTTTTTAAAAATTGCTTAAGATTAAGAATTTAAACAACATTTAACATAAAACACTATACAGTAGAAATTATAGCAGTATTAAGTTATAGGAAAACTACTAATTAGAAAAACGCAAACAACAAATATTTGGTTGGAAAAACTTTAAAAAATAAATAATCAATAATCATGCCCGATCCTCTGTAAGTAAAATTGAAATACTTCATTTCCAAGTTAAACTGTTCACAGATCTTTGAAGATTTCTTTTAAGCAGTTTCTTATGTAAATGAATTTTGGACGCTCTGTACGATCAGCTGACCAGCATTTAAGCATTAACTGATAAACAGATTCTGGACATTGTGATGGACGTGTTAAACGATCACCGTGTTCCAAAAGTTTAATAATCTTTTTTTTAAAAAAATTAGTAAAAAGATCTATATCATTTATAATGATAGAAAAATTTACTGAAGTGAAAATATTTCGAAACACATATAAGTCACTCACCTTGATAATAAATCTTTCTACATATCAATGTAGTAAACTTAATTTGATGCCTTCACAAACACTGATTTGAATAACCAAAAATATAAGCAATATTAGCTTCAATTTACACATAAATAGCAAACTAAATAACAAAGAAATTCATTCTAAATATATTTTAATAGTTGAGATCATGAGTCAATTGAAGCTATACCACTATGGAAAACCTGAAAGCACTAGACAGCCGTTTCGTCCTACTGTCCAGTGCTTCCAGGTTTTTCATAGTGGTCTAGCTTCAATCGACTGATGATCTCAACTATTAAACTTACTATAATATCTACAAAAACATCGGATATTATTCTAAATACTTTATAAAAATAGTATTGCTCAATGCTAAATAACATATCGGATTTTAACAACCTGAATATTTGAAGTCTTAAAAATAAACTTCGGCTAAATACCATAATTAAGCTCAAACTACTAGAACTGAAAACACCCATTTGATTAACATTTGCAATTCTCAATTACACAAATGAATAAAACTCGATTCTATGAAATATTAAAGCGTAAAATGACATACTTAATTTTTTTAACGGACTGAAATTTCCAGAAAAATACTCACTTCTGTATGACTTAGATCAGTAAATGGTTCGACAGCGAAACTGAAAACTTCCCATAATAAAACTCCAAAAGACCAAACATCAGTATCTGTATGAAATTTTCCTTCTAAAATTGATTCAAGAGGTAACCATTTTATCGGCAAGCATTCATTAGAAGTAGAGATAAAATCAACACCAGGTTGAATTGGTCTACACATTGAAAAATCTGATAGTTTGATAATTAACTTTTTTCCAACAAGAAAACTTCTTGTAGCTACATCTCTGTTTAGAATTTGTAAAAGTAATGAAAAAATTAACCATAAAAAATAAAAATAAGGTTTCTCAAATGTACAATTTATAAGAATTACTCCATGAGAAGCTAAATATACAAGTTAATATAATTTGATAATAGATATATTTTTGTTATATCCCAATGAGTAGAAAAATTGTATTTCTGTCGTTTCGTGATTTAATTTAAGCCAATACTTCAAAGTAAAGGAGTGGCGTACATTAAGTCACAAAACATCAGAAATAGAATTTTTCTACTCATTGGGATATAACAAAAATATATTTATTATAACTCTCTGCCTAATGCTCAATTCATTAATATAATTTGATTCGTAAAAGACATACGGATGGCATAATTATAATAAGTGATGTCATAGTTGTACTTAACAGTTTCACATGTTAAACAATATTTACAAAAATGACTAAATACATTAATTTTACTAGTTGCCTTGTTGATAGATAAAAATAGTGAGTTTAACATAATCAAAATATGATGTAGAGATACTTTAAATTTTTTGATGGAGTTTTGTTCTCTGACCTGGATGGTTTGATCGTGGAGCTTTCATCGCTCTTCTGAACAACATCATCAGCACAAATTTAAGGTAGAAGTGAAGTGTTCAAATTTCTCCACATGTAGTTCACATCATATCATGTACACCTCGATGTTGATTGGTTCTCGTTGACCTTAAACCTGTCATTGTTTACTTCTTTGTTTTGATTGTATCTCCCATTGGTTTGATTTTTGTTCCTATTTACAGAACAAGCTGTGAACCACATGTGGAGAAATTTGAACACATCACTTCCACCTGAAATTTGTGCTGATGTCGTTCAGAAGAACGACGAGAGCTCCACCACCAAACCATCCAGCTCAGAGAATAAAACTTCATCAAACGCATCCACCTGAGCTACAAATTTTCTTCACGTTTGAAATTTGTTACTTTTATCATAATATAAACCAGTGTATGAAACACTTGGAGTTTAAACTAGGTAAAATGATAATTGTAGGGTTTTTTTAACAAATCAATTAACTGATATTAAATTGATTTAATCAGGCGTTCATAAACTTTACATTTCAGAAGAAAATTTACAGGTCAATCAATAACACTAATCATTTAGATCATTATTTAGATTAGTGATTATTTTACTATAATCCAGTTGAGTTTTTTAAATAGGCTTTCTATAACTTTTAGTATGCTTTTAATATAACTTTTATTCTCATTTTACTAATTACACTAATCAGTAAACAAAGATTCTACATCTCCGTTAATAGGCTTTCATATGACAAATTTGTATACAAATTTGGAGACTAAATAATTACAGTTGTACATAACAGAACCCAGGTAACTGGTTTGTTATATTTTCTGAATTTTTAATACTTGTTGAACATATTCCATGAATAAAGTGTTTGATGCTAAAAAAAAACAACTGATCAATTGAAAACGACTTTTATGAGGCGCTTTTTAAATTCAGTAATCTGAGTACAAAAATACTTGGGAAATAATAAGCTAAATCTACGAATGTTGTTTGTTTTGAATAAATAGTGGAAAATAATAATTTACTTTTTTTTTTAAATAGTTGTTAAGTCGAAGAAAATATTTTAGGTAAAATCACTGATTTGTTGAAGAGTCGACAAACTTGTAGAAGTTTATCAGTAGCGAAAATGTTGCACAGTATTTAATCACTTAAATATTGATTAATTCAAATAATCAGATATGAACTTAGAGTAAAGGCAATTTTTATTGGTGCAATCTAAATGTGATCATCTATATTCACTTAGAAAATTGCTACAGAATGTATGTAATATAAAATAACATATGATATATATATATATATATATATATATATATATATATATATATATATATATATTCAGTTTCTATGCTCAAATTATTCTATTTTTCTTAAAAAGTCGAGGACGAAAAGTAAGAAACTTAGTGCAATGTGTGTGCAAAAAATAAAATGAAATTTTAATGTAGAAAACAGTATGGCTCTTTATAATTATATGTACATAAAGCGGTTAAAAGTATCCGATTTTTTTATTATGTTGTAGGTTCGGCTACAGATTCTTTTGTTTTGGCTAGCGCAGCCGAGCAATTTAATTAATCAACATAGAAAGTACTGCTCAAAACCAAGTAAACTTGATTACACTTTTCCAGTAAATGAATTAATTACGAATTTATACAGGAACAATAACTGTATTACTAAATGGTACTTTAAGAAGCCAGTACATATGAGCATCCATGTACGTGAAACTATGTAGAATGGGAACAGTTATATAAGGTAGAGTTACCAAAACTGTTTGTAAACGACTATCCAAACAGAGTCTCATTTTAAGAATGACAGAAATGAATTAACATCAATTAAGAAAGTTCTTAGTTTAAAAAAGTATCGGTAAAGCAAGAGACAGTGCAGACAAAAGTACTTGAGGATTAATGTAAAACCAAATTTCATATGTATTTTAAATATAACAAATTATTTTATTAATAATTCACTGTTTAAAAGAAAAATATTTAGATGATAGATACAGCGTGAATTTATGCGGTAAAACAACACCTGAACTGATATAACTAATTCATTTAAACCATTAAAAAAGAATAAATGGAAAAGATGGAAGCTTATAATATTTAGCAAACTCAATTAAATTATTTATATTCCTTCTCAAAAATTCAATACATGAATGTAATCAGTAAGTAAAACCAAATAGGATATTATAATCAGGTGTAACGTAGATGTCTACTCAAAAGATTTTAAATCTGAATGGTTAGAGTAGAAATTTCATGTTTTCAGTTTGTTTGTCAAAATGTCAAAATATAAATTACTAGAATGGGTTTTGTGGAGAATCGGTAATTTCAATAGTTGAAATCATGAATCAATTGAAGCTAGACCATCATGGAAAACCTGGAAGCACTGGACGGCCGTTTCGTCCTAGTATGGGACTCCTCAGCAGTGCGCATCCACGATCCCGCCCCCCGCGGGATTCGAACCCAGGGCCTATCAGTCTCGCGCCAGGCGCTTAAACAACTAGACTACCGCTGAGGAGTCCCATACTAGGACGAAACGACCGTCCAGTGCTTCCAGGTTTTCTATGGTGGTCTAGCTTCAATTGATTCATAATTTCAACTACTAAAAATATAAATTCATTATTGTACTGAAAAATTCACAGTACCGCTGGAGAGGTTACCGCAACGGTATCATCCTTTCTTGAACGAAATTCCCTGATACTCCCGTAGTATGATGGGTATGAAGAATTAGTATATGGAGGTATTAAACATAAATTATTTAGGAAAGACAATACTTGATAATTGTTTAACAGTCCTTAACTCAGAAAGACATGATATACATCCTGACGAAAGCTCATGAATTCACAGTTTTATTTATCTAAAAATCAGTATATGGATAAATAACGTGTACCCATAAAATAGAAATCGTCAAATATAAGTAAATCATAATTACTATTAAGAGATGCAACAGCAGAACATGTAGTTTAAATGATCCTACACATTCAGGATTGGAAAAAAACTGATAAATGTCACGAGATAAAAATAATGCATATACACTAATTTATACATCCTAATAGATTATGAGCACATTTTAATTGCAATGAGAGTCATCTCTTTAGATTTAATTTCTAATCGATCGCTTTCATTCACACTGCAAAATTAAGACAGACAGAAAACAATAACACATTTTCAACTAACACAATACGTGAATTATAATGTTGATAAAAATAAAAACAAATGATAGAAATAGGCTTGTATCTTTCTTTTTTAAGGGTTGAGGATAAACGAAATCTAATTTTCTACTAAGTTGTTTTATATGTAGATTTATGTCATTAGGAAAGATAGATTAAACCCGTTTAATGAAACGCTTAAAACTTCAATATAGTTTCAAATATTGAAAAAGGAAAAGGTGAATGACAAATAAAAAGTATTAGCATAATCTTACAGGTAAACAGCGTAAATGATACCAGAAGGAGATAAGGCGAAAAAAGAAAGAAACACCGGTACATTGCAAACGAGAGGTTTCTTGTACAACTACATGGCAGAATGCATAATTTCCTACGGTTACTTCCCTCCAATCAAAGAAAAATCTTTGTTAACAACTTTAGTTATTTGTTTTTTAGACAATCAGTTGGTCAATCGTTTAAAGAAACACAAGATTTAATCGTGCATAAAAACACTTATTTAAATGTTCGTTAATGGATGGAAATATTTGTTAACCAGCTTAAATGTAGTACTTATTGAATCATTTATATTGAATAACGTTTAAGTGCTGTTTGGGATCAAATATTATCCATATTGAGACATCACCCTTGTTGGATATTTGGAGAAATCAATACTATTCGCTGATAACGTGAACGATATAAGTCTTATAATGTTGCGATTGAGTAAAAATGACAAATCGATCGATGAGGTAGTGAATATTGATCAGCTGAGATGACTGAAATATTTATTACGCAAGCCGAATCACCACCTACAGCGACACGCAATGTTAACTGGTGTATGTTAGGAGGAAGCCATAGGTACACAAGCCAACGAGTGGTATCAGGTCATGAAGTTATTAGTTGTTGGACTTTGTCGTGAAGGTAGATGCTGTCTAGCTGGTTGAGGTTCTCGAGAGCAGAGGTTGGAAATGTTGAACGGTGTGCCTCATAACCGATCTTAATGACGCAGATTCATCCACTATTCGTCTACCTTTAGATTTTAAACTTGCGAAAATATTTTTTAACTTCTTATTTTCGCAAATTCAATCTTCCTTCTCCAGTTATATTGTCAATGCCTAATGTTCTCTATTACCATTGATACTATTGCTAGCTTTACTATTAATAATTTTATCCTGCTACGCAGCTTTTGTATGGCAACTTGAACTAATGCTTGTATACTTAACTGGTTGTACGTTGTTTATGACCAATAACATAAATGAAATCATTTAGCATCATTCCTAATTCTTGCATATCATACTGTTTCATACCTGTCATTATTTCCTTATTTATTGTCGTATGTTACTAATTTACCAGAGTTGTAATTCATACGCAACTAGTTATGTTCGATTATAATGGCATTTACCTTTAAACTAAACCATCTAAAGGAACATTTTTATTTAAAATTATAGATTAGACAAATCAGTAATTTTATTCATCCAAAATATCTAAGTTTTGACCTTTGTCATACACAAATTCCTTCAGCTACATATACGTAACAATTCATCCTATTATTTTGTTTTTCTCACTTTTTTTGTTAATCTTTTACGAACTAATGGTTTTATTCCAGTCAAGCTTTTATCTCAATGACCTCGACGAAAAATGTGACCAGTTTATATTTTACAAAAGTTCACGCTATTGCCACTGATTAAAACTCAAATCTCTTTTTGTGAAATTGGTCATTTTTCAAGTATCATTACTTAATTACTTGTCTGTAGATTGTATTCGTTACAGACTGATCTCATTTGTATAATTACTACAAACCAAGGAGTGCTAGACAACCACTTCATACTAGTATGGAGTTGTTCAGGATTTTGAATCCAGGATCGTGTCAAGGGTTAAATCTGAGACTTATACGTCTGGGTGAGATAACCAAACCATCAGAACTACTGTGGCGAATTCGTGAATAATAGAGTATAGATATATCAGAAGTAAAACAGTTGTTTACTACTATTATGCCTCATCATAAAATCATTCACATGGCACACGTGTGATAGGTAGTACAACAGACTAAAATTTAATCAAAAAACAATATGAAGATTTAGAAAAGACACTCTGTCACCATTTGTCTTGTTTAAAGTAATTATCATATTAACAACGCGATATAACATGTACTATAATTGATTAGCAAAAAATAGAATAGAATGTTTATTTATCAGCGATGGCTTGGGTGAATGAAGATGTCACCACCTTTTAAGTAGAGATCAATTTCATCACATAGCACCAAAAGTTATTTTACTACATTGAAAGTTTAGGCAATTCTGAGTCAACAATGAAGCTTATTATGACAACGAAAGAAAATATCATACATGTTATTGCTCACGCTGAAATTTTATCTTCAACGATAATAGTTTCGTAGTCTAATTAACGAAACTTTCAAACTATAATCGATAAACTTTTAACAAGTAATTTAACGCTTAAATGAATTCGAATTATCATCATATGAGAGGAGACTCACCTATGTACATAATGCATTTCGCTTAAATAAACCATAGCTTCACAAGCATCAATCACCATTTCAATGAGGATTTCGACATTCAATTTGGTAGGATATTGCTCAATTAAATCCTTTTTAGAAACCGTTGTAGTCTGTGACAAGGTTTGACTATATGAATTTACTATTTCCCCGTTGGCTGTGCCTACAAGAGAATCTACAATGGGAAATAAATAAGAAATATACTTACTGTATCCTGGTGATTCACCGGTGTAGCGGCGTAAAAATGAATAAAAATCACCAAAAGGCATATATTCAATAAGGAGTGAAAGTGGTTCCAGTGGAATACAAACGCCTAAAACCAAATTACAAGTAAATGAATACGGATTAAAACTGACACAAACATATGAAATTTAAAAAATTTATTTAATAAAATTAATCTAGAATAAAAATGAGTATACATTTGTGCCAAATTACTTTGATTTGATTGAGGAAATGAATTTGAATAATTAACAGTGAATTAATTAAAATATTCATTAATTGTCTTATTTATTTGAACACATAAACATTGGTAAAAATGGGCGCTAAATACATATGCGCCACACAAGTCACTTGGTTTTTGTGTGGGCTGTGATACTGCCTGGGTGCCCAGACAGAAGCAGGTGGTTTTCTTAGGCGGCCGCTCCCAGGACATTTGACCTGAGGGTCTGATTCACAGGGCAGTGGAGCAACGTCAGGAGATGCAGTCCTCTCAATCCCATAAACAGCACTCGCGCTGCGAGAAGGCGGTGAGTAGGACTTCCCTGACAGTGGCTGTATACACGTTGCCATGTGAGAGCATTTCAAGAGGGAGAGCTAACTCTCCCCACCCTCGGCCGTACCAGGGCATTTGGGGGCAAAAATGTCAATATTCACAGGATAATGTATTGTGATTCTATGCCTAATTAACTATTCAGTCCAACCTAGAAAGTTAGTAAACTGACAAAAATAAGCAAGCAATTAAAAAGCGAAACAGTCCAATAATAATCAAATGCAAACTCGAAAAAATTTACAAAATCTATTATATAATATAAAGGTGAATTGGATAGAACAGTTTTACAATACCTAACAATTGCATAATATTTCTATGTTGTAATTCAACCAATATTTCAGCTTCACGAAGGAAGTTAGCTTCAGCTTTCAGATTAGCACCTCCTTGAATCATTTTCAGTACAGCGATACAATTATTTGATTTGTCGGAAGATGACTGGACTGGAAGTAAAATTTAAAGGATTATATATATTAAAAGATAAAGTTTACAAGTATGTAATCGTTAAAACTCTGATTATTACAAAGATTTAATAATCGAATTGACGGAAGAAAATCATTCCAAGTATTATTAACCTAGTGAGTATGCAATATTCATTAATGTTAAATATAATGACATCAAATAAAACATTGTTATAAGATTGATGTTTTACTTCAAAGATGAGCAAAAGACTATATTTTACATTGAGTTGAAAATTTCCCTTAAATAAAAAATGAAGGCTGACAACTATACACTCTTATTTCATTAGGTTGACCTTCAATGAAAAACAAGAAAATTCTAACAGATTGATATGATCAAAATCCCAGAGTATATGCGCAGTGGCTTAGTGGTTAAATTGTTTGACTTTTAATTATTAATTCACAGGTTCAAACCCCGGTCCACCTACTATAAATTGAGTAACTACATATTATCATTGGCCTTCGCACTTAGAGTGTGGCTCATATCCAGGTACATGGAAAATGAGTTCAGTTAAACTTTGTAAAAAATACGATGTATACAAGACTAGGTTTTACACGCACCAAATACAATGAAATAACATTGAGTTTACATTTAGAAAATACATATTACCTAAAAAAGGGACTGTTTTTATGCTCAAAAATACATCTACAATGATAAAACGTGTAAACTGAAAACATTGACGCTGTTTTGTGATAATTCATCTAACACGTACAAGTTTGTTTATTCAACATTCAACTTAACGATGTTTGTGAGAGCATCATGTGATAATAATCTTTACGTTGAAAAACTCAAATCTTCAACTCTGATGACTGAAAGTTAAGCGCTTTAGGCATTAATCTATTGATCCAAAAACATTTACGGTCAGCAAAGACTTTCGTCAAAATTTAAACCAATAGTTTCAAGATAGTTGGGTCCCGAATATATAGAAGATAATAAAAAGGAAATTTTACGTATAAAACCTCAAACGATTGAAATTAAAAGCAACTCTAATGTATCGCTCAGCAGTCTAGCCCGAGATTTTTAAATATCTTACCATGATTGGATAATAGTTTGGTACACAGATATCTTATGAACAGTATCTGTATTCGATCATTTGAAGGTTTGAATATTTCCCTGCAGAAACCTAGGCCAGACTCCCAAGTGAAATGTTAAAGTTATTTTTGGTTTCAATCGCCGAGACTTTTATGAACATTATCTCTTTTCTAACTTTCGCTGAAGATAACATAAAAATGAAAGAAAGGAAGGAAAGAAGCATCTTAAGTCATTAGCCCGAGTTACTTCAATATTATATCTCTTAATTGATAATTGTAATATGATGTAAATCAGTTGTTAATAGTAAGGATTCATTCAACAGGCTAAGAAAAAATAAATGTAAGCATTATAAAGGTGACTAATATATATCAATTCCTAGTAGGTACTATATTACTTATAATACAAAGTGAACATGTTCATACAAGAGATAATAAACAATATGATAATAAAATCAATCACTATGGTCAAATACTATCAACTTGTGAAAAGAACACCTAGAAAGTAAAGTAACTTTCTAAAAATGTTGAATAAATTTTTTTCAATGAAAGTCATAAATCCAATTACATATATATTTTATTTTCAGAGTATGATAGCTAATTTATTTGATTTTCTAACATGAAATTAGGTGTTAAATTAAGACAATATTTTACACTTAAATAGAGATAATAAAGTGAATAAGACAAGAAAACAATGCAAGATTTTACTATCTTGACATGTTATAAGACTGAACTTCTACAAACAAGCAAAATTCATTTAATGACCATTGAAATAGGATAGAAAAGTGCTGGTTTTAATATAAACTGTATAAGTAAATTCTTGTAAAAAGGGGAACTAAAATAAATATGCTCCACACAAAATAAAAAGACATTATTGTGAACAAGCAAGGGAGAAAAGAGGAGTACAATTAAAAACAACAAAGTGAATAAAAATAGTATAAGACATACATTTTAATAAAAAGCACAAGCAAGAGAGATTTTTTTTAGGTAAGGGAGTTCCTCTTAATTTTATGGAGAATGTAAAAGAAAACTACGACAGTATCCCCAGTGGTTTCAATTCTGAACCATGGATGAAAACTCCTTAAGCCACTGAGTAGTAAAATCTTCAGGACTCCGGTCGAAAAGTTCTGATGTACCGACAGACACCAGTCCAAGATAGTATTTATTTATGCAAAGGCTTCATGAAAGGTACCTGATAGGAAAATTCCGTTGAAAATCATTCCAGAAACTTAGTGCAAACGATAATCTAAATTTAGATAACGTACTGTAGATATTTCTTTTGCTCACAAATATTTCGAAGCAACTACGGCCTTACTAACAGAATATGATTTGTATATTTTTTAGAAACGAAAAGTTGCTTCCATTTACTTATAGAATATTTAACAATTACAATTGAGAAATAGGCTATGGAATGATTTTAGGCTTCTCTGATAACATGCTAGTTATGGTTAGGTAAAAAATAACTCGTATTACATTTTTAAAGAAAGCAATGTTGTTAATCTAAAGTACAGAGAGATTAATTCCTAAATAAACTACAACGAAACTGCAAATATCCACTATTCACATCAGGATCACATGTTCGATAAGTGATAAAGGTTGGTTGGCCAAAAGTTGAATTTAACATTTATCTAATTGGTTTGGTATGATGGAACTATAAATTTCAAACGTTTTTTCATTTAATGAGTATAGGTTGATTTACTCCATTTGAAGTATAAAGTTTGTGCGTGAGGGAGAGGTCTACATTAACATCAGTTGCATAAAACACAACAGATAAATGTGAACTATATCGAGGATCTAATAGTTGTCAGTCAAATGTATTGACAATTCAGCCAATAATTCATACCATTATTAGTTTTCCTAATACGTGTTTAAACTAAGTAAAATGTGTAGTAATTAAATCGATCGGAAAATTACTAAGATACTTTCTATTAACATAAAAGCAGTTGTAAATCAAAAAATTTAAAAAGATTTTTTTAAAAATTATACCGTCAATAGTATTTTCTTTTTCTTGTGAACAAGAAGAGACAAGACCCAGTCTTTCTGAAGTTGTTAAACTTAACAAACGTCTTCTATGAACTAGTTTATTCAAATTTGGAGCATGTACTAAGATGATCCAACCAAAGGCACGTTTAGCTAAACAACATATTTCAACCAGACGATTGCGAGGATAGCACAGTGATTTAAATCTAGAACAGAGATTTTAAAATAACTGAAAATTATGTTATTAATTTAATTTGATTACTGAGGAAAAATGTAAGCATATTCTACTTGAAAGGTTTGATATGATAAATTTAGTAACAGACAGTTAAGCCTCCTTTTTTAGCGATTATAATCCAATTATAGAACAAGGACTAATGCATCATTAAGCAATTGAAGTATTTATTCTACCACAACATGATCAGATTACTTTGTTGACAAACCATAAAAGAATGTGATCACATTCTTTATATAATATTACATTATGATTATATATGAATAAGAAATTAAGTAGACACAAAGATTTCTCAATCTGTAAACAAATAAATTATGTTAAGCAACTAACACTTACTTTGGATGTAGTAAGTGATTCATCGAGGCCACATTAAATAACTTTTCCGGTAATATAGCAGAACCTAATTCAGCAGACCCAGATGATAGTGAATAATAGGATGATTCAATCAAGCCAAGAGTAGTTGGAGAAAACTCTGAATCAACCTCATGGTCATCAATCGACACGTGATTATCTGAGAAAGAGTCACCACTGATATGATGATTTGTAGTTACTGCAGATGAAACACCAGTTTGTTTATTTTGAGTACAACGACAAGATGAACATGTATCTGATAAAAGACTGCTAGCAACCCCACAGACCACACAGGTATTTAGTGAAGAGTTGATTGTTTTAGGAGGTGAGATAATTGTAGGCACACTCGTTATATAAACTATTGACTTATCCATTCGCATTCCCAATGTATTAGCCTCAAATTCTTCGTCAATCAATTCATTTCTAGTCACGGGACAACTATGTACAGATTGAACCATTTTGAGAGAATCATGTTTCGATTTTTTGAGAAAATTAGGTAAACAGAAACATGGGCATAAGGATGATAAATAACGACTATGGCTAACATTAGCCATAACATTTTGATTAGGTATTGAGGGCATGTTTATATCTTCAGTATATTGTGTAACAGCAAAAACTGAATGGGATTGACTAGCTGTACGAGATAAATGTGTGAAGTCAACAATACGATAATATGCTCCAAAAATACATTGGGAACATGGATTAAGCTGTCTAAGTCTACGTCGACGAGTTAATAATTTTCTACGTCGCTCCAAATATTTTTCTTTGTTAATTTCTGTAGAATCATAAAGATGTTCAGAAAATTGTCTATTTTCATCACTTTCTTCATTAACACTATTTACATCCCCTGTAATTTGAGGCTTGTCAAAATCTAATTGAGAAAAGTGTATATTCGACTTCTCAATATTTTTTCTAGAACAACGATTTATCAGCCAAATTATACAACCGATGATTAATAAACCAATAACCAGTCCAACAATTGAACAAGCGATAATTGTCTAAACAATAGTTTGTCAAATAAAATTTATACGTTACAATTAAAATTAAAGCACATAGACATTAACTTATTAATTTCAAAACAATATACAAAAAATGGTTTCAGTAACAATTTTCGTAGTGATAAACCTTCAGAACATGATGATTTAACATTGTTAAATATAAGAACAGGAATGTGTTAATCAAATACACTAGTAAGGCTTTTACATTCATATAAAAGTAATAGAATTTTAAAAATGAACACAAAATATTGGTCTTGACCACTAAATTTTGTGTAATGAAGAACTATAATATGTTTCATTATATTTTCCTCACCAAATTGTTAAAATTCATCTTGAATCGACTATAAATCATTTTCTGTTAACAACATATTTGTGAACACTGAGGTGGCAGTGAGCACACCCGATGACTTTCAAAATAGTGATCATTTTAAGTATTTTTTTCACAAGATTTGGTATTTTTTAGCAACTTCGTGTACACGTCACAAAATAAACGCAATATTAAATATCACTAACTAATACTGGGTTAAAATTTAGTTAATTATTCATAAATTTAATTAGTTCACTTCTAAGTGATACCAATGGTCATGTAAATGGGGATTTGAAAACAAAATCGTGAATGTATCATACAAAATGTTGGATTTTCCAAAATTAAAAATTTCAAATCAATTTTTTAACTTCTATGCTTTGGTTATTTTGATGTAGATAAGAGGATAAAAACCTACTGATAGAATAATAGATATGTATGACATTTTACTATGAAAATGAAGTACAGAGGTGGGAATACCAACCACAATAAACTAAACAAAAATATCTATTTAATTTGGTGATGGGGTAAGAACCACTGGATATGATTTTACTTTCAGCTAGCTGAAATTTAAAAGTGAATTGAATATTTCATGCGGATATTTAGATCTTTCAATGATTTGATGATATATGTGTAAGTAGAGTGTTTTCGTTTTACTTATCTATTACACTTGGAGCCAACATATGTAGGGATTATTTGACAATATCTACAATCTACAAAACAATTCCATTGTAATATAATAATATACTACAATACTACTGAATTTTTACTGAAAAAAACCTAATTCATAACATGAAACTATCTGTTAAAAACATAATTACAGGTAATAATCAACGAAACGTGCCATATATATATACAAGAAATTAATAAACTTTTAAAGATTATCAGAAAAATAGAGAACAAGGTACATAGAGAGAACGAAAGATATACACATCAGAGCACTAAGTTACGTCTATGTCTATGAATATAAATGCAAGTACATGCAGCACACAGTTAGTCAGACAATTTAACTGTTCTGTACAAATTACAAGAAAGACCTCCGATATTTAAAGTAATAATCGATACAAATTTAAGACGAATACGAATGTAAAACACAGATATTGACGTATATATATTGATGCTTATGTAGTAAATTTATTGATAAAAATGGTTAATATTCAGAACAGTACTTTCGTTATTAATATTAAATGATAACAACAATGTTAAGAATGAGAATAATAAATACATTACATGTACTTTGATTCATCTACCAATGGTGACATGACTTTTGACGAGTTTTTCGGTAACAGTATGGTTAGATCCACGTTCGCATATATATATATATATATATATATATATCATTACGTTTCGTATTCCTCGATATTTTAAGTGTATTCTCTATGCTTATTATTAGTATTGATGAACATATATATACGAAATGTAATTGATTTCCACTGTGACACAAGCTCTTACACCAGGAAGTTCATATTTAGAAACACAAATTATTTAAATAAATTTCGTTTTGTAAAGAAATACACATCAAGTTCAATAATAAATGGAACATTTTGAATGTTCAATCTGGAGTATCTATCAACTAAAAATGACTTCCTAAATGAAATCCAATTAATTAGATTTTACTAACCAATCATAAATAATTTAACATATAAAGACTATTAGGATTCCCCGTCCAATTATTCAGGAGCTTTATGGAGTCCCCTTTGAGTTTTTAAACACAATATAATTTATATTCTGTTGCACAAATGATTTGTAAAAAAAACTAGAATGCATAAATTTCCATTATTCAGTTAATACTTATTTTTCACTGGTTTCAATAGCATACGACTAAACCATAAGTGGTGGAGAAGAAAAAATGGAAAAGAGACATACATATCATACCATGCTTTAATGCGAAGGTCTTAGAATTACTTACTTACCACACAAACTTCAGTATCTATATTTATTATTTACTTTATCTGCTATTATCAGTCATAACGAAATGAATGAAAAGTTTACATTGAGACCGGATGCAAAACGGTAAACTTTTAACAGCAGACTTAACTATTTTTTGTACAATTAATTAAATGCTTCATTATCAATTTAACCGTTTACTGCTTATCTGGAAATATTTTTTATCTGCCTTATCATAATCGCACTTGGGATGATTGGAAAACAATGTTTCTACATTTTTTCGAATAGTTTTCTACGTTAGTGGATTCTTTTTTTGTGAAAAGTAAATGTTATATCTCAAAATTTACTTTGGCATTTAGTTAAGGTCATTTGTTATCTTGATAACAAAATCAGTGAAGTAAGAACAAACTAGTTTTATCAATAACATTTAATGCTCACGTTGTCCAAATTGATAAAAGGTAATCAATTTGTGAAATCAGAAGACTGATTAAAATGGATGAGGGTAAAACGATTATGATAATAGTTATAGAGGTTGTGAATTGACAAAATCTTAGACCACCATTTAGAACATGGAAGCACTGGACGAAAGGGCCGTCTAGTCTTTCCAGGTTCTTAATGGTGGTATAACATTCATCGATTCATGATCTCAATCAAAAACTTAATCTCCACAACTCCAGATTGATTATTGACAAGACACAAAAGAGAAATGCGCACCAACAAAAGATTTTATTAACCTATATTTTTGTTAAGCAAGATTTATTCGTACAATGTTTCCAAATCAATTACAATGATATTATGATAGTTCATGTTTTATTAATGTGAAAACAAATAATCCTTATCTAGGGAAAAGTTCTCTTACATAACCATACAAATAATGAAATCTGATGAAAAAAGATATCAAATAAATTTCTTAATAAACTAAAATAACATGATAAATTGTGACTTGTCGTATTATTTATTAACAAGGTCACATAAATGAATATACATTGTATTTAACTGTTAACAATGAAAAAAAAACACTTCAAATGCTACCATAAAACATACCTGTAACTGAGCCTCTGTTGTTTCTAGACCACTAAGCGACACATCACCAATAGTCCAATTATGATGATAATCACTGTTGCTACTGGTCTCTGAACATTGAGGAATTTGATAACAAGAAGATAAATACCATTCTCCAAAATGATTAGGCTTTGACTTCATAGATACATCTGGAAATTTTTCTTTATTGTCTTTTCGACTTAAACAGAATGGTCTTGACGCCAAACCAGACGGATTGCGACACACAGCCGACGAACTGGCTTCAAGACCTAAACTTCTAGGGAAAGTGAAACTGTTTAAACTGTAAAAACCAGGCCAAATACCAGGTTGTAGATTCTGAATATTATCATCGAGAACAAACAGATTAGTCCATGGTCTACATTCTGGCATAGTAGCTAAACCTCTGTAATTTTCCCCTTTTCCGTTGATGCAATCAACTAAATAAACCAAGTAATATACAGATGCTTTGAAGATATAGTACATAATAACTTTTTTATTATAAAAATTGAATAAACTAAATATTTAACTAGCTCGAAAACAAAAAAAGCACATAAATAAGTCATCAAAGTATGATATCAAGGATTTTCTTTAACATTCATTTACATTATGTAAGAAGGGATATATAACACTAAAACTATACATAACAACATACATAACTCAACGACATTGCAGTCATAATAAATAATAAACTTAAGAACAAGGCAATAGAAATTATACCGATTATTTCAAGGAAGAACTTCTTTACAACAAGTTCATTTCCAAAGCTGTACATTAAGTGCATTGACTAAAATAAAATACTGTAAACTCCAAAACAGTATGTCTTAATCCGCAAGGATACCATACAGGCACACGTGAAAGAATTAACTAGAAAGGAAAATAATAGATTTTATGTGCTGGATCGACTTTTCAACCGGACTACTAGTTCATAGTGAAAATTAGATTTTTACTGCAATTAAATCAGAAAATATTCCCTGAACGACCGAAAAAAACGTGTACACGATCATCCCAAGAGTAATACTCACGTCCATAAAGTTCAAGCTCTATCTACGGCTTAAAAATATTCTAATTATTCTGCGAAGTATAGTTTTCTACCTACACAAATTGGATTTGAAAATTTTATTAGTGAAAAGCATGATCTATTTAACGTTTTCGTCTAAATTATAACATTCTAATTTGACAGCATTTTTCAGTTTATGAAAACAATGCTGGAAAATTAATTCAACTAAAAAAGCACTCATCAAGTGTAATGCATTAGAATGAACGAGAATATTTTACTAATCCATCCGGACAAATGAACAGAAATAGAACCAAAAGATCATGTCTAAGCAATTATTTGAATTCCTATACTATTTCTGTTGAAAAAGTATTAACTAATCAAGTTACTGTCACTTTTCATACATATTTCTCTTATTCTGAGATTCTGTTGTCGGTGACAAATAAGGAATTGAATAAAAATGAGGAACTGGAGACCTTCATTATAACAGAATCATTTGATTAAGTAGTATATTCGTGTTTATAGTTGTTTGATAAATATATGAGTCTATGAAAAAATAGAAAGAGATTACATGCAAAGTGATCTGACATTTAAAATGTCTAGAGAAGTTTGCATAGTAATCGAGAAGTTACTGAAGAATGGAAGAATGGCAGTAACCACTTTTGCACTACTAAGGTGTTGGCAATTTAAAAAACTCAAACATGAACTCTATGTGCAACCTCTCATCCTACCATGAGCCTAATCCCTCTCTCCAGTGATGTCCAAGTCTTGTATTTCTTTACATCCTTATTTTGTAATTTTAAACCATAACCAGTTTTTATTCGCTAACAATTGTTCTTGATTACTATTCAGTTGTTATTATGTTCTTCACATTTGTTTTTAATTTCTTCTTCATATCTGTTAGACGGACAGTTACCTGACGTATTTCTAATTGATCAATTATTTTCCTATTTTTATTCCTTTCCGACCTGTCGATCGTTACACAACTTTATTTCGATATTTCAGATGTCGGATCACTTTCATCATGTAATTTCTTAATATTCTTTTATAGACTCATATATTTATCAAATAACTATAAGCACGAATATACAGTTAAATGAAATGATTTCGTTGAAAAGAAAATTTTTTTGATGTTATTTATTAACACAATGGGTTACACTAATTAACGTGAGATAAAATTGGAACCAAAGCTTTTGACAGTTCTTAATATAATCATGCCAATTCCAGTTATACATACAGTGAGCTTAGCCATTATTAAATGATTTTGAGATAGAAAGAAAAATCAAGCCATTTATTTCAATAAAGAATCAGGTGTATACGTTAATAACTATAGTCAAGGCACGTAAAATATTGAATTCATGTGACTACCTCATAGTATTAATAAGCTACATAAATTTCTATGAAATTATCTCTAGCGATTAAGAAGTTAAATTCTGTTAAATATTCAAGTATATAATAAATAAACAACTATATACGAGTGCACAACGTTTACTATTAATAATCATCCATTAGAAAGAATGATATTAGCTAAAATACATTTGTAAAAAGTAATTACAGCCAAAAATGCAGTTGTAACTAGTGAATGTCACACATTAGTCATCGAAATAAATAATCATCTGTCAACAATCGAAAAATAAAAGTATTAGTCGTTTTTTTCAGACAATTGGTAAATTGTATACGGTTTTTTCTGAATTACTTATCAACAATACCGGTAACAACAAAAGAAAGAGAAGTTGGATTGAAAAGCAATCTTGTTAATGGACACTTTGATAATCTATATTATGTAGTAAAATATCAAATTATTAACAAGAGAACAGAGATATTAAAATAGCTCTTAGTCAAACAGTAAAAATAGAACTGAAAATAACTGATAATTAATGAGGTATGTTAAGTAAAGATCACAGAAAATTTTATAGAAAGCACGACAAAAGCATTTCCGTACATAAAATATAAAAATAACAGTCAAAATTTTAAAACCTGATTAAGGCTTGTTGTTAAATATATTCAGAAAATAACATTTCCCTTGAAAAAAATTCGCACTCTCCTTGGAAAATAGAACGTGTCTTAACAATAAATGATCCAGATCAAACGCGCAACCTACAAAACAATAGAGCCTACGGTAAAAAGTATATTTACTGTTTCGGTATTGAAATAACATCGTTTTATTAGGCAGGGCATATCGGATGTTCACTAGTAGATTATTCATAAAGACATTGTGCTTTGGCATGTCCTGTATAAATTCTACATATATATGAGAGCCACACCTGAGGTTAACACGACGAATACAGAAATCGAGGGGATTAGAATCAAAATTAGTAAAATGGAAAACTAATCACGGAAAATATAATTCAAACAGAACAAATGAGATACATTGTTTCATCATAGAAAATGGGCAGTTATTAAATGAATTAAATTGTTTAACTCAACCACTGGGTGCCTGGGTATGACCTAGGCTCTAAGTGTGACGGCCAATAATACTATCAGGTTGCCAAATACGAAGTAGGTGGAGTAAGGTTCAAACCTTGGGTTTAGTGGGTGAAAGTTGAACGCTTTTAGCATTACGTCACCGTTCCACATCAAATGAACTAATGGTCTATTTCTCATATTAATACGTTAACTAAAAAATCTTAATCACTTTGCCACGTCACAATTATAATCGGAAATCGGAAACAATAAACAATGATCGAAGAGATAAACCATAATCTAATTAACATTTACTTATTGTAAATAAAAGATACAAATATCAATAAACGAAAGAAATACTATGTTTCATTTATTTCAGTGGACTCTGAAAATTCAGAATACTATAGTACATTAAAAAGTTTCTTTGCAAGGCGATTGACCAAACATGCAAAAACTTGTTGAAAATTTAGTAAAGTGACAAAAACTTACCATTTTGTTCACCAGAAGTTTTCTTACTTTCTTCAATGAAATTTGTTGGATTTTCGCTATCAATAGGTAAACGAGTGCAAACAGACTTTTTAGACGGTTCAAAAGACATAATATCACTTTTAGTAGATGAACAAATATAAAAAGGATTTGATGTTCCATTGACTAATCGATCGGAGAAACTCAGTGGAAGACTTTGACTTTTGGCTTCTGGTACGTTTATCAGTTCCGACCAACCAGTTTTTACAAAATCGGAATTCATTAAAGATTCATTCTGAGGAATGTCGAGAAGTCTATCCAAAGCTGAATTATTCAAGATTTTTAACGAGGAGAAGCAAAATAAGCCTGTAACAGCGAGACAATGTTTCCTGTTTTACGAAGACGATAAAATAGATGTTTACTAAATTACAGCACTAGAAACTATAAACAATCTACAGATAACTCTAAAACAAAAATTCAAGTTGAAAACAAAATGTATTGGACTTCTCACTTCCAACAGCTAAGTGTTCTTCAGCTAGCGGTGTGTGTTGAAACGAAATAGGCTCGTAATGAGACAAAATCAATTCTTCACAAGACATTTAATGAATTCATAAATGGACGGCCACGGCAGGTAACAAACTACTTGTTAGTAGGTGAACAAATAGAAATTTCCTTTATTTTATTAAATTAAGTCCTTTCTGTGAACAATGAAAAGTTATTTGAGGGGAGGTAATTTAACGATACATTCATTCGCCCCAATGTTTTAAAACAAAATAATCAATTGAAAATCCTTTACAGTGTAAAATATAGACAAGTTTTCTATGCTAGTCCTGAGAATATAGCTATTATTTTTAGAACAACAAACAAAATAGAGACTGTTTCAGTCAGTCGGTCGTCATCAACGCAGGATGTGTTAGGAAGCTCTATCTATCCAAGCAGGTATAATATCAACACGAGATGAGAAGCAAGAGAGGAATTAACTTAATCTGAGATGAAAATCGACAAGAGTCAATAAATTGAAATTGAACCGTATCAACTATTTAACAATAGTTCCACAGCAAAATTAGAAAAACACAGAATTCCGTTCAGTAAAAAAAAGGTGAAACTAACAGTAAAAACCAACATGTGCCAGGTAAATAGAGTCTAGAGAAAATAAACGAAATGAAAACACAAATGGTTAAACTGTTTATTTTGTCATAGCTTTATCTAAATAGATTATATCAAAGGTCACAATCGTTCACAAATAATTATTTCAGACTTTTTCAACGTAACTAATACACGCAATTACCGTTCAACTGTTGCAAGAACTAAACAAACCTAACAACGTATAGTTTAAAATGTTACCATATCATGGTTAAATAAACTCCTTCAGTTTAAAGTACGTTTATTAGATGGTGGCTGGAGGTAGTCGACAGGAAACCCTGGACTCGGATTTCGTGCTACTTGAGGTAACAATAGGGACTAGACACGCATGACATTAGTCACCCAGTGATCAATCAATTGTGATTACATCTCAGTCCTACAGGAGGTCGGTCGCGGCCCGGATAGCTCAGTGGTAACGTCTCTGACTGTGAAGTTGGGTGGCACGGGATCGAATCCGCCAGGGAGCACCATTTCCTTCGAAGATTACAGGTACACCTTGCTGACGAGTGTCAAGTAGCACGAAACCCGGATCCAGGGTTTCCTGTCGACTACCTCCAACCACCATATAATCTTACAATAGTGCCCGCAGTGTCGAGTCACCTAGAATGGTGGCCACATTGCAACATGGTCGATAGCATTCGATCTGCACTAATAATAAGGACTAGACACGCATGACATTAGTCACCCAGTGATCAATCAATTGTGGAAGTACGTTTATGCTAAATGCTTAGAGTAATCTCAAGGTATTTACGATTGATATACGAATTTTAAATTCTCACAAATGACAACACATAAATCGTAAAAGTAAACGCCTTGTCAGTAACAACGTGACTATATAAACCGTAGACTTGACAACCTAACACTTTTCCTAACAGTAGTTTAAGTCGACACTACATTTTTTTCTAAACCCTGAAGTGTTGTTGTCTGGTTTAACTAGTTTAATTTTCATCTGTCTCGTACTAAGTATAGAGCCTAACTCTAGATTTGAGATAGAAGTTAGAATTGGAAAATTGATCATTAATACTTCAGTAAACTTCAGGTGGGTAGTTTTAGAATATTTCTGTTGATATGTCTGGCAGTTATTTTACTCCAGGAACAGGTAGAGACATTTTTTCAAATTTAGTAGTTCTAGGAATGTTGTCGTTCCTCATTTACTTTGTGGAACATGTGTTGTAACTAGTTGTTATACTATTCAAATGAGAACTTCCATGGACATACATTCATAATTATTAATATTTTAAGTCTATCCTAGGAAAGTTAACAGTAAAACCAAGTTTGGGGACTCAAGTAACAACGCCATTTAGCTACGACTTTAACAAAGCAACATCAATAAATGAGATGTCTTCTCGACTAAAACTCAGTGAAATATTTACAATATTTCATCTCAGTATACTGGTTTTATCGTGAGGATATGAGGTTGTTATCAATGTTAGTTTGAGGTCACATTTTTAAAAATGAATATGAGGTTATAAAGTTTATAATAATTGATGTGGCAATACTTTATGCTACAGTATTTGTTGTGATCGACTAGTATTCCATAGACTGAAGAAAAAACACTTACTTCAACCGAGAAATTTTGAGCAGTACCTTTTCAAATGATTAGCATCCAGGCCGATTTACATATTAGGTAATCTCAGTAAATTCGAAAGTCTGACTGTTAATATGAGTCGTTTTTCAAGCACACGATTGTGTAAACTTCGAAATATTTTGTTTGACTAATGATCTTCCTCAGTGGACCAGGTAGTGATATGTATATGGTTGAAAATTAAAAACTCCAAAAACTAAGCCAAAACGGGAGCACATTTACGATACAATAATTCATGTTTCTAAATTTTGATTTTAGCCAATATGGTTTATTCTTACAATTTCAAGCTAGTTGGTGAAAAGCTTGAAACACATTTCACTCATAGTAAATTTGAGGCTAGTTACTAAGGATAATTTATTATCGATGAAACAGCATTGCTCTCTAGTTTATTTTCGTTGCAAAACTATGTTTTTCACAAATAATACATTTTATTCAAAGGAAAACAAACAAGGATATTGTTCATAACCAGCTTATAATTAAGAACTTAATAACAAAAAATAGATCCCTACAAAGATTTAACCAAACAATAAGCTACTTATAAATAACTTACAAACAAACAGGATATTCAATATATGAATTGGCAAATACAGAAGTTGACTTTCTATCAGTGTTAGTAATGTCACATCGAGGATAAGATGCAGCACAAGTTAAATGCTTAGCCAAATTAATACATCTCCATGCAGCGCTACTATTATTAGATAAACTTATCGTATCTACAATATGATTTGATTTTATAAAAGATGTATTTGAACCTTTAAAAGAATCACTGAGATAATTATTAGATTGAGATAAATGCATTGAAGATGATAGTAAATCGTCCCATCTGGTAAACAGATTTTTAACAGCTTGATTACTGATTTCATTGGAATATAAACGAGATCGCGAAATTAAATAAGGTTCTTTATATTCATTAGCAATATTTTCTATAAATGGATAACATACGGAGGATTTAGGTAGGATTGTAGAATACGACTGACAATAAGAATGTCTAAAAGTAGAATAAAAAAATTTAAATAAATATTTGAACCATTTCATTGAGAAATATATTTATCTCAACCACACGAAATTAATGTTTGCGGTATAGAATGAAAAAATTGAAAAATCATTGACATTGTTCAATATTGAAGTTAATTTTCATTTGATCAATGATAGAAAACAATGAAACAAAAACAGATCTTGATAAATTTATGATGATTTATTATTAACCCTTCCTAATCATTAACAGATCCTATTGGAATATAGTAGAAAATAATAAATAGCTTGCATAATTTAGGAAGTAATTCAGTTACTGGTCTTATTTTGAAGAGTTCTTAAGTATATGTTCACTGAAATGATTTATTATGTGAAACACTGGGTAATATGAGTTTTGAAATATGATAAAATGGAAAAAGAAAAGCATCATCAATTGCTTTGTGGTTTTCATTTTTATCTTTGACTGATTATTTGTTGTAAATCATGATATCTTGAATGAATAATTTCGCATACGAACGAGTGTGTTAATTAATTGATATAATCAGTAAAGCCTGACTCCTGACAGGTCATCAATTGGTTCCAATGCTCGATTATCAGTTCAGCTACTTTAATCATCTCAATAAGTTATAAATCAATTGTGACATCATGACAAAATACCAAGATTGCGGTCACCAGTAGATTACGCGATGTTGATTTGTAAATGGTGAAAATTATTGATTATTTTGGATTCAACCAAATTTTAGAAAGTCGAATTTCAACTTTGAATATTTAAAATATCACCATATTTAACAAATTATTGAATTGTGTAAAAATGTACTACGAGCCTATTTAATTAAAAAATAGGCCCAAATTATTTTAAGCATATACTATTTTTCTTGGAATTATCGATCACTATAATCGATGTTCCACCATTTATGCAATTCAGTATTATAAACTCTCAGCTTATGATACTTAAATCTTGACGCAAAACCAGAATATGATTAAACAATAAAGATATGTGATTTAATTTACAGATATCGTTAGCAACGTATGTATGTTAGTATTAAAATTGTTTTATATAGATATCTGTTTTACATTAGATCTAATAAAAGTCAAATAATTAATTATAAGCAAATACCCTTCATTCTCAATTACTAAAACTTCAATTAACATAACATAATAGTGAAGAGCAAAACAATTGAAATAATATCATTGATGGTAAGGAGAAAGTAATTTAGTAAATTTCGATGGTGACATCTATTAAATATTTCGAGTTAACAGATCAAATAAGTTTAATATTATTCGTCAAAATGTGACTTTTTTTACATGTCCATCATTGTTTTGTAATTCACATTGTACATTAACCTCCTGACTATTTTCAACTGTTAAATTAAATTAAAGGGAAGTTTATAACAGAGGACGTAGACAATTGTCTATAATTTGAAGAAAAAGAAAATCACAGATATATTTGTTTATCGAGTTCAGGTTTATGAACAGTTTTGAGTCACAAATTTTTTGTGTATATTTTAAGTGAACCCTACTCAAATTGACTTTAGATTATGTTAATGGTTTACAAAAATTCTAAACAAACCCATGACTTCATAACGTGATCGAATAACAAGTTCAGCTTAATACAATTTGACCTTTAAAAGTACTAAAACATTTGTCTGATATAAATTTTAATGTTATCATTATTACAAATAAATCGCAAACAAAAAGACATTTCGTTTATTTGAATGAATATAACACATTTAATAACGATATTTCTATGAAACAGAACGAACTATTTACTAAGTAAAGAAAAAAAGTTAGTCACAAAGTAAAACGTAAACAAATATACATCGGTTTAAGTTTCCATACCCCATTAGCACGGAGATACACTTGCTCAGAAAAAATCATGGAGAAGTAGAGTTAGTACTAGTATGAGTGGTAACAGAAAAGATTAGGCATCGAAGATACAATTCCAGAAAATATAAATTAGTGAGATCAAAACAAAAAACAGTACGAGGAATCTAGAATTTGGGGGAGGACAAAGAATGGATGCACCTGTACCATTGCAGACGATTCTGAGCCATGTCACTTAAGGTCTCTAATCATTGGGTACGATAACCACACGGACCCCAACCTGGTACTCTATATCTATTAATATAGACAAGTTCAAATGTAAGTGACTTCATGGAATACTGCTATGTTTTGATTTATCCACTCCTAGCGGTGGTTGGGTATAAGTAACACATCCCAACAACCTCAGCTGATGAAGATTCATAAACTTATCAATCGATTTACTATCTTCACCAGGTACCCTGTTACAAACCCAGGCTTTGGTTACTTACTGGTCCCAAAATGCATGAGCGATACCTCGAAGATACCCATTATCGAATACTAGTAACCAACAAATATCCTTTATTTTTAATGGATACGTTTCATATCCATAACGTAGAACAGAGCAAACCGCCACGTAGTAAACTTGCTCTTTGGTTGAAGACGGATATTTTGCCTACACTACAAGTGACGTAAGCTGATAGAAGCCAATCAAGCTTTCTCAGTCCGTGCCGAGATTTCGTCAGACATCAGACCATCGGTACTGGTGAGACTCTTAAAATAAGTGAAGCGGTCGATGCGTTCAAATACTTCACTCCCTATCACTAATTCAAGCGATGATCCAAGCCAATCTTGAAGTAACATTTTACACTTGGAGGGAGAGGACCGCATCCGGGACATGTTTGGATTGTTGTTTAAGATTGTCAGAAGACCCTGCATTTTTTCAGCGTCTTCATCAAACAGGACTATGTCATCCGCGTGTTCTAATTCATCATGTGAATCTTCTGGTTGAAGATTAATCCTTGAAAAGTCAGACGATAAAAGTGTTATTTCTGAAAGCCTGTCTGCGAGAAAGTTAGATGAAAATGGGGAAAGCGGACAACCCCGACAAACACCATTTGAGCAACCAACTCAGACGATAGTTCACTCGACCTGAAGTGTGTGAGTAGAGAGCATGTACTAGGTTAGTGTGCTTCCTTGGTACATCTTTCAATGTCAGACACTGCCACAAAACCTCACTATCAACGGAGTTGAAAGCCGCCTTAAGGTCAAAGATTACAACTACAGTCGGACGTCGCAAAGTATGTCTATGTTCAAGGACCTGTCGAAGGGTGAATATTTGGTTTATACACCGGCGTCCAGGTCTAAAACTAACCTGGTTTTCCCGAGTTCGCTCTTAACAAGATTTAGTTAGATTTCGAAGTATTATTGTGGCTAATATTTTAGACACTATTAGTTAAATTGATTCCTCTGTGATTGCTACAAAAGGACTTTCGTCCTTTCTTATAAACTGGGACGATCAGAGTTCGAGAGCAGTCTGATAGGATTACATCAAGTTCCCAGATTTAAGTTAAGATTTCAATTAATCTAACTACAAAAACTCGACCACCATCCCTAAATATTTCAGTGGTTGATCCATCAGACCCTGATACTCTTCCTCGCTTTAGATTGCGTATAGCCTTTTCAATCTCACTAAAAGTTGGAGGACTTAAATCAGTCTGTCATTCTGGTTGCTTGGAGTTGGTGGGTATCTGAAGTCCAGTTGAACTATGTCGATAAAGTATTCTGCCCATAGATTCAATATCCTGGATTGAAAGTCAATAATAGTTCCGTTTTTTTTCCGAGATAGTTTCACTAACAGACGGAGTTTTAATACCTGTTTACTTGATAAGTCTAAACAGTTGTCTACTGTTACCTATCGCTGTTACCTTTTCATCTCTTATGCTTTCGCTACCCACCACTGCTTACCATCACTATGTAGGCTTATTTTAAATCTATGTTTAAGCTGTCTCCGCTCCATAAACATTTCTGACGCACACGTGATGAATTTACGAACATCTATCGGTTCGGTGCACGCCACTGAAACTTCGTCCAAGCTGCAATCAGTGGGAGTGTAGGCAGAGACAACGGCATGTAAACCTATCTTTTCAAGTTCTTAGTGTCCTGTTTAGTAGAACAGTGTACAAGCGACAGTCTGTTGAAATCCAATCTAGCAGAGCGTATTGTCCTTTAGAACTTAATGCTACACCTACATTAGCGAGCCCGCAAGAAGAACTGGTGGGGACTCCAGATACTCGAAGGTTAAATCGTGACGGTTCTTTATATTGACAACGTAAGGTCAAATGAATGACCATACTTTGATTCAGTATGCACGTTTCAGAGACATAGCATACATGGATGGCGTACGACTTCGTCCTCGAGCCTCAAGTTACTGCTTTTCTTTTCGTCTTACCATTCTCCAACCAACCAACCTGGTATGGCGGGACTTAAAAGAATATGAGTTTCTGCTAATGTAGCCCGGTGGAGTTATCACGATAGGCAAGTCCGACCACCACGTCAAGATGGCAACTACGGCCGGGTCTATACTGTATACGTATTTTTATATCATCTACGGCTACAGTAATCTCTTATTGTTTCCAAACTCGATAAACAGAATTTTTTACACACAGAGACACTTCAATTGAGAGATTAAGCTTATGACAGCGCTCTGAAATTTTAAACAAGATGAACTGAGAAGTCTCAAAGAATATGAAGTATTTATATGAAGTTTTGTTTGGCAAATGCACTGACAAAACATAGTCCTATAAACAACCTTGAGAAAATGTTAGAAATATTTTGCTAATGTAAAAGGTTGCGCCGGGACTGGCTAGCGTGAACACCCTCGCTGATCATAGGTAGTGAAGTAATTTAGAGTATTAACCAATTAACTTGAGCCTTATTAACTCTGATGGACTGACGGCCTAAATATTTCTGTACCAGCACAAAACATTTGCATAGACCGAGATGAGTTGCCTGTTTGTCAATTAAAAGGTGAAGGCGTTGTGAAGAACTTTGGTCTTTATTGCCTAACGAATGTTAAACAGAATTTTTGAAAGTAGGGGATACACTTAACTTGTTAGTATTTGGTTACATATCTCAAAAAACTACCAGCAAATGGTGGAATCATCGAGTCAGTTGGAATTAGGCTTAAAGTAATAAGTAAAAATGACAAGTCGGCTGATGTTGTTTGAATTTCCATCGACTGGGGTGGATAGGATACGTCAACCGTACTCGATAAACAACCGCCAACACAAATGTGCCATGCTGGCTAATAAGAGTAGGTGTGAAGACGGTTAGGAGTTGTCAAAGAAAACACCATCACTTCGTAAGGTCCTTCATTGCTAGTTCATATTGTAGATTGAAGTTAGATATCAACACCATTGGATGCTACCTTAGTGGTTTGTGGGTTAAGCGTTTGCACACGAAACCAAAAGTCCTGGGTTCAATCACAGGTGAGGTGTCGTGGATACGCAGTAATCAGAATTTCCATATAAGGAAGAAAAGGCCATGTACTATTTCTAGGCCTATAATGGTGATGCGAATACGATGAGTTTGTGATTTTAACTGTGAATACAGTTAACATATTTCTTTGTGTTACTGAAGAAAATCCAGCGAAAATTTTCCTTTCAATGAAATCATTTCATACTTAAAAATTAATCAAGATACAAAAATAATGGTTTATTTACTGTACGTATATTTCAACGTAGATTAATTCCATGAAGATTTAGTGACTCTTTCCACAATACGAGCCCACTAATCAAAACAAAATATACTTATATATTGAACATCTCGTTAATGTTTGTGTGATATTGAGATTAAATGATACAAAAATAGTTTTATGTATACGTAAATTCATTTTTTTATTTTTAAATGAAGTAAGTAAATGAATACTTGAATAATCAAACATCTGAAATAAAACAACTCAAGTCGAAATTTCAGCTCTCGAATGTAACATTGGTTATACATCGAAGATAGAAAGTAACGTTCATTTACAACTGATTGATCAGTGAGTAGGGATCGATGTCGTGTTTGTCAAAACCTTCTTAATGTTCATCAAATTCTATCAATCAAGTTGTAATGTGTTCACTAGTCTAACTCACACTATTCTGAGATGTAGGATGGTGGTTTAAGGTAGTGGACATGGTTTTCTGTCGACTACCTCCAACCATCACCACCTTACAGTAATTTTCTTATAGCGCTACATCGATGATGAACATCTAAGTAACTCAACATGTGAATATCTTTCAAACATGGAAATAACCCAATTTTGTTATTTTAGAAAAATACGTCAATCTAAATACGAATATTGTAAGTGACTTATATGTTTGTGTTATTGAATATTCTTTTAGTACTGATCTCCACAAAGTTTATGTATTTATTTAAATTGCAAAAAAAGTTGTAGAATGATAATTTAGCTTTCCTTGGACTCCAATTAATACATATTAATAGTTATGATAATAAAAAAGAAACTAAGACTGACCGATCTGAAACTCCATGTTTAATTCCCCAAGCTTTAGAATCTAAAATTTTAAAAAATAAATGGAAAAATCTCTTAATTTGTATGTACATTTCCTTTTTTTCTCTAACTGAGGCAACTCAAATAATTTTACAGCATTTACTTTAAAAAAAAAACAAGAAAAAACTAAGAATGAGACTGCGAAGAAAGCGATTAATCACGAGATTTAATTTGAATATAAAATTGTTTTTTGGAAAAATATATTAGTAAACTGACCAGGACGAACTGTAATGTAGGCCAAATCATGCACCATACCCAAGGAATTCTGAACTTTACACTCCACAATTGAATCTTCGGTAATGTTATGCTCCATTTCAAAAACAATCTTAAAGTCATAAAAAAGAGTTATCAAGAGATTTTAGTGGGTAAATACTTTTTGGATAAGATAATTATAGAATATTTAGGAATATGTACAATAATTCGATTAAATAGAGAAAATATACAATATCTAATGATTAAACAGTGCATTAGATCAAGTTTTGAGTATGCTTTTCATCATCCCAATAAATCAGAACATATTAACACCTGATGTAGATCTTAATCTGCACCGTTTGTTATTTTTATACTTAAAAACTTCGGAAACTAAAATTCATTCAATACAAAATGGCGGTTTTAAATTTTTAGATCATCTATGCAATATGATAAAATCAAGACATTACACTACAACGAAACACTTGTCATAGATAATATTGGTCTTATCGGAATGTCGGGTTTGTATATTTTAGGTCAATGAGAAAATTATACTACACCTTTTCTGAGAATACGTCTCGAAAGACACCCCAGTAAAATCAAAAAATCGACTATACAATATCGTACTCTTTCATAGAAAGACACAGTTCTTGTCATCACATAATAGTAGAAATTCCCGTACTAAATAAATGGGATGTTTAGTCAGTAAATGAAAATATAATTTAAAAACGGATGAACATTAACTTCCTGGAAAGTGACACAATATTTGATATTTTCAGTATGGAGTTGTGGAGATTGTTGAATTTCACTGAAATCATGAACTAATCTAAATTACTAGTGAGAACCTAGAAGTACTGGATAGCTGTCTCATCCTAGTGTGGGACTCATTGGCAGTGGGCACCCACGACCTTGAGGCTCGGGATCAAACCAAGGACCTACGATTTCGTGCAAGAACGCTTAACCTCTGTGATCGTGTGACTTTCAATGAAATCCAACAAACTTCACAACCCCATACTGCAAATTATCATGTCCTGACTAGTGACGAGCTTTGAAATTCCTGGAGTTCTAGTGAAGATCCGTGACTGGTGAAGCTAATCAGTGTCCGGTGTGAGGCAGTTACCCATTGAGGACAAGGGAAGATGGTCGCGCAATGTCTTGGATTGATTGATGTCAGATATTAACACCGTTGGATCCCGGTTTAGTGGTCCATACGTTAAGTGTTCACGCGCGAAGTTGATGGTCCTGGATCCGATCACAGGATGCGTAGTCGTTAATGCACAGTATCAAGGAGTTCCGTACAAAAACGATACGGCCATCCAGTGCATTAAGATTTTCAATGGTGGTATAATTTAAATCAGTTCATGATTTTAATAAAATATTTGATAAGATGTATGTACACAAGATAAAATTAGAAAGATTATCTGGATCCAACATTGTGATTTACCTGGTTATTAAGTATCATCGTATTCTCTCGCGGATCAGTCCCTCCAAATATGCATGGGAATCTGTAGATAGACCCCCAGTCTACAGTAGCATTATGCACTGTCTCTGCAAGAAATGCTTTAACTGTTAAAAAAAGATAAACAAATCGAAGTGCAAGTAAACCTAAAAAACTACAAGAGATTATCGTATATAATTAAACAAATTAGATCTCAAGTGAGTAACCAGTGGTGAGTATCTCCTCCTGTCACGTGGAAGGCCCGGGTTCGATTCCCGGTTGAGGAGTCGGCTTTAGGTGGTCAGTATATGACATGGTGTCGTGGTATGAAAGAAAGCTGCAAAGGGCTGGCTTCTGTTGGTCCTTCATGACTCCCTGGCTGGGGTCCGAGAGATGGTGTAACAGTGGCTAGAGACGTTATCAGATATGGCTCAGAATAGGAGCCAGTGGCGATCCTGCTGTAACCTTCTTTTAATTTCTTCGTAAAGAGTGGTTGCTTCTTCCTTAACTGTAAGATTTCCTCTGATCGTACCTTTTCGTTTCCCTTATTTTTGTTTTTTCTTTATAATTCCCTACGTTCCTTACATTTTTTCCTTCTCTTTAAATTCTCATTGTTTTGTGTGGCGCATATATATTTGGTGCCCCCTTGTACCAATATTTATGTGTTCAAATAAATAAATAAATAAATACATAAATAAATAACCAGAGATCAATCAGTCGCCACTGACAACTTTAACAACCACCTTCTGCAAGCAGACATCAAACTTACTGATTCACATTTCTAGTATGACAATGTATATTAACTGAGACTGTTGAGGAAAGTAATGAACCTAAGACAGCTTTCCTTAGCAGTACTTAAAATACATATCGTTGATGACCTAACAGTCAGGTGCTTGAGTGTATGGAAAAGGCCTTGTCACATTAGTTCTGAAATTTAAGCCTCCGAAAGTGACAAAAATGATCACTCTTTGTAACTTTTATAAAATAATCATTTTTGACGAGTATAAACTCTGAGAGCAAGAAGACACTGTCTGAACTGACAATCACTAAAATAAAACTTGCAATAAACTAAACGGATCACAGTTAATTTTCGAGGTGCATAACTGTCGGACATACCAAGACCATGACTAAATCAACAAACATTGTATTACATTCGTTAGATTACTCATTTTACAGGGATTAGCCAATTGTTTCCCTGTACTTGGATATTTAAACAAACAAATAACTAAGATCGATGTGCGGGTATAAACACAGAAGTGGTTAAAAAATAAATTCGAATATTAAAAAGAGAATAAATGAAGCAGAAAAAAATACTCTGAAATTCAACTATTTTATTCATTTTCTTGTAAATAAACACTCCGAGCCAGAATGTCCATTCAAGTACTGCCATCAAATAATTCTTGTCTTACATTTCGCCCCAATTCTAAGTAACAATTGACATCTCAACAGAATAAATGGAATTAAATCCATTCAAATTTTTCAGTATATGATTAAATATGATTCAAAAGGTGAGTTCTTGTTAAGGATCTAGGTTTACTACAGAGATCATAAGTGGCTACCATACATGTAAATAATATTTTACAAAAGAGAAGATAATTACTTAATACTAACAGGCTAGTTATCAGACGATCTTAAACATACACAAATATCACATACCTATTGGTACGAAGTTGTACACAAAAATAAGTAATGAGTCATGCGTGCCGTTCGGATAAGAATTGTACGAATAACAGCTAAATATTCTATCTGCATTTTCCATTCGAAGTCGAAAGTCTATACTTCCATTAGAGTGCATAGTAACATTATGTGTAGCGAATTCCATTGGTTTTTCATTGTCGAGCCACTCATAAACACGGTATTTACTGTCCCCGATTCCACATGACAAAACAACACGGTCACCTACAGGTACCGATATCAATTTGTGTTTTGGTTTTGATGTTTCAGTACATGAAAGCGAACGGAAATATACGAACACTGAAAAAAAGAGTAAGTGAAAGCAACATAGAGATAAAGTTGAAGGTAGTTGACAATTAATTTCGACTTAATTACATGCTGTTGTGTTTTGGTAGTATGCAAAATATCGAACTAAACATATTCAGAAGTTAGAAACATCAGTCTTTTGTGAGTCGTTAATTTTGAACGAAATGAACCATAAGAATGAAGGCCGGAAAGTGTAACTTGACAATTTCAGTAAACTACTTTGAGGTGAGTACTTGAAGTTTTAATGAAAAGTCGTGACTCGTGAAGTTTGGACACATCGAGAGTGAGACAATCATCGCCCATGTCATAAGAGGATTGTGAACTGATGTAAGTTGGAAATTAATATAATTTTGTCCGAACCTACTAATATGATGATTAGGCGCCTGAGATGGAGCCTGAATTGTCATGACGGAACGAATATTGTGAAAGTTGGAACTAACTCATCGGATTAATAATTTTAATTTTTTGTATAATTACTGAGCAACTAGATTACTATGTATATATATTCTACATATCGTAAGGTTTCGGTTGAGCTATTAACTACTGTTATACAACTTACTATTCCTAATTTGTTCCCAGTCTACTCTATTTACAGCCACTTTTAGCTAGCTCATTTGTAATTGATATTTTTCATTTTCTGGTGTGATACGGTCTGGTTTGTCTGTATGTAAAACTCGTCTGTTTGAGATATAAATGAAGTAGACACTGGTTGCTGACTACTGAACTCAAGGCTGGAGACAGAGAGAAGCTAGAGAATAGCCCAAGGCCGATAGTGCTGGTCGGACGTGTAATTGACCAAGTCACAGACACTGAGTTACAGTGTAAATAATAGACCGAATTAGGACCAAGATTCTGATTGTTGGTTCGGTATATGATTTTGATCAGCGGTCGCAAGACATAACACGAAGGTCCTGGGATAGATTTTTGAGGGTCATAATTGTGTACTTCTGGACCCATACCGGAACGAGACAAGTACTTAAAGTCCCTTGGTTTTTAGTGGTACTCCAATAGAGGTCAATTTGTGACAAATACTGCTTATAAATTAAAACAATCTCCATGATACTCTTCGAAATTTATATACTTTGCACACCAATGAAATATATAGATCAAAACGACGAAGTACAAAAAAACATTCAATGGATTGATCATTATAGGTGTTCGGATACTTTAGTCTCAACTAACACCCAAGAATCACCAACAGATATTAATAAAGCTACGGACTACTTAAAAGACGTTAGAAAATGGGTACTAGGTAAGGATGGCAAATCAATTGATGAAGTAGTGGTCAGACCAAAACATGAGACAAATCCATGAAATCATTGACAAGTGGACTGAGACATGTTAGCAGGTGTAGACCACTTGGTTGGGGTCCACGAGACGATATCAACCGTTGGTTAGAGACCTTGAATGACATGGATGAAAATCGTTTGCAACGACGCAGGCGCATCCACTCGTTATGTTCTCCCAAATTCTAATCTTCTGAATTCTTCATGTCCCTTATTTTTTCTCTTTCCAAATTTATTTCACTGGATAATACTCCTTGAATAACATCTTCAAGATCTAATCTTTCCGATTACTGCCTATACTTTTACAACCTCTACCACTGTGGGATTTGAATCGACAATTGTATATGTGCTAATATGGTATGGCAACTTGCCCCCAAATGCCCTGGTATGGCCGAGAGTGAGGAGAGTCCGCTCTCCCTCTCGAAATGCTCTCACATGGACACGCGTATACAGCCTCTGCCAGGGAAGTCCTACTCACTGCCTTCTCGTGGTGGGGGTGTTGTTTACAAAATGAGAGGACGAAAAGCGAATGTTCGACGCTTTAACCGGACCCCAAATCAATGGTGCACATGGGCTCCAGTATCCTGAAGGAACAAATGGCGTATGAACCAATTTTTGGTCACCGGCTTCCATGGGACTGCATCTCCTTACGATGCTCCACTGCCTTGTGGATTAGACCTTTAGGTCAAAGGCTTAGGGTGTGGCCCCCTAAGAAAACCATCTGCTTCGGTCTGGGCACCCGGGCAGTATCCCTGCCCACGCACTAAAACATGATGAACTATTTACTTATGGAAAATATTCTTTTCGCTCTGATTTACAATGAAATGACTTACACTATTATTATTATTATTTTACCACGTTCTTTTATTCACTCTTTCTTATTCCCACTTTATGTATCCCTTTCAACTTAGCAGCTCGCCTATGGTGAAAATTCGGCTCTATCTAAACGTTCTTGAGTCACTGCCTGGTTGAAAATTGTATGTTACCATCGAATACAAGTACTCAAGCAGTTTTTCTGAAACCACGTGCACTATTCAAACTGGCTGCCTTCAACGTTCGCACACTTATGCAGGTCAGACAACAGATAGGGCTGGCTATGTCTTTGGAAAGTCTTAATATTGACGTGTGTTGTCTATCCGAGACCCGTATTCAAGACTCTGGTGAAGTAATACAAGTTCGCTCTCCATCTATAGCTTCAAAAAGCTTGTTTTATGTGCGTTTATCCGGGGACCCTGTGGCATCTTCGTCTGGTCTTGTTGGCGTTAATGTCGCACTAAGCGCTAGAGCTGAGGCAGCACTAATCGATTGGATCCCCATTAACAGTCGATTATGTGCTGTTAGATTAGAAAGTTCCACAAAAGTGAGAAGAAATCCGCGTGAGAAACGATGTCTCCGCCTATGCCCCGACAGATCGCAGCCCGGATGCAATCAAGGATGAGTTCTACCACCAGTTAACTGTTCTTCTCTAGAAAGTGCGTTCGACAGATATTGTAGTACTAGCCGGAGACTTGAATGCTCAGGTCGGGCGTCTAGGCACAGAAGAGAGTCGTTAAGGTGGTCGATGGGGACTTGTTGGTCGCAGGACAGATAACGGGGAACGTCTACTGCAACTATGCACAGACCACAACCTGTTTCTGGCTAGCACTAACTTTCAGCACAGTTATCGCCGATGTGCCACCTGGCGTCCCCCTTCTGCATCTCAAGCCTGGACTCAGATTGGTCACATCGCAATCAGCTACCGCTGTCGTGGTCATGTACAAGACTGCCACTCCTTTAGGAGTACCTATCTGGACTCTGATCATGCCCTGGTCTGCGCCAATCTTACCTTACTTTTCAGTGGCCAACGAAAAAGACTTCTCGACCTTAAGTATGCGGATAATATTGTCTTACTGTGCGAGAATGCCCAAGCTATGCAATCCGCACTTAATCAGTTGGCAATCAGTGTCCGTAGGTATGGTATGTGCTTTGCACCTTCGAAGTGCAAAGTACTTCTACAAGACTGACAGGATTCTAATCCTGTACTCACTCTGGATGGTGAGCAGATAGAAGTAGTCGAGAAGTTCGTATATCTGGGTAGCTGCATAAGTACTGGTGGTGGTGTGAGTGATGAGATCAATGCACGTATAGTGAAAGCCAGAGCGGCTTATGTCAATCTGGGCCATCTTTGGCGTCTTCGTGATGTCAGTCTGGCTGTAAAAGGTTGGATCTACAACGCGACGGTGAGAGCAGTTTTGCTCTATGCTTGTGAAACCTGGCCTCTCCGAGTTGAGGATGTTAGACTTCTCTCTGTGTTCGATCATCGCTGTCTCTGAAGGATTGCTGGCATCCAGTGGCAACACCATGTTAGTAATGCAGAGGTTCGGCATCGTGTGTTCCGGCACAGAGACGATAATGAAATTGGTGTCACCATCTTGAAACATCGACTTCGGTGGCTTGGACATGTTCTGCTCATGCCGTCCCAGAGAATTCCTCGTCGTGCATTAGTTGCCGACTCTGGGACTGGTTGGAAAAAGCGGAGAGGTGGTCAGTATATGACATGGTGTCGTGGTATGAAAGAAAGCTGCAAAGGGCTGGCTTCTGTTGGTCCTTCATGACTCCCTGGCTGGGGTCCGAGAGATGGTGTAACAGTGGCTAGAGACGTTATCAGATATGGCTCAGAATAGGAGCCAGTGGCGATCCTGCTGTAACCTTCTTTTAATTTCTTCGTAAAGAGTGGTTGCTTCTTCCTTAACTGTAAGATTTCCTCTGATCGTACCTTTTCGTTTCCCTTATTTTTGTTTTTTCTTTATAATTCCCTACGTTCCTTACATTTTTTCCTTCTCTTTAAATTCTCATTGTTTTGTGTGGCGCATATATATTTGGTGCCCCCTTGTACCAATATTTATGTGTTCAAATAAAATAAACTAAAAATAAAAAATGGCAATTTGAACTGATGTACGTACATATGAAATTCTATGTTGTCAATGACTGACAGTCAGCTACAACGTAGGACCAGGCACATATATGCGTCGGTCCAAGTTGCCATACCTCATTAGCACAACAAGATGAACACCAATCTCATAGAAGCAGTTACTTCAATGGTAGTAAAAAAGGATTTCATATAAGGATATGATATAGCGAGGAAGAATCGGTTCGTAGAAAGAAAGGTATAAATTAATTTTAATCCCACAGATTAAGGGAAGATAAGGAGTGTATACACCTACACCATTGTGATCGATTATTGGCCATGTCACCCAGAGTCTCCAATCACTAGTTTCGATAGTCGCGAGGACCTCAACCAAGTAGTCTGCATTTACCAACACGGCTCAGACCAGAAGTTAGTGACTTCAAGCACTGATGCCACGTTTTAGCTTGTCTGCCACTAACGTTTTTCCGTCTGTCTCCAACACTAGTCAGCCCCCATATGCCCTGGTATGGCCGAGAGTGGGGAGAGTCCGCTCTCCCTCTCGAAATGCTCTCACATGGACACGCGTATACAGCCTCTGCCAGGGAAGTCCTACTCACTGCCTTCTCGTGGCGGGGGTGTTGTTTACAAAAATGAGAGGACGAAAAGCGAATGTCCGGCGCTTTAACCGGACTCCAAATCAATGGTGCACATGGGCTCCAGTATCTTGAAGGAACAAATGGCGTATGAACCAATTTTTGGTCACCGGCTACCATGGGACTGCATTACCAAATACTAGTAACTTACGAGTATTCTCTGCCCTTAATGGCCATGTTTCGTATCCGTAAAATAAAACAGAACGAACTGCAGCGCAGTATACTCGTCCCTTAATTGATAGACGAATATATAACGTTCGCCATAAGTTGGCAAAAGCCAAACGAGCATTCTAAATCCATGCACAGATTTCGTCAGACACCAACCCGTTAGGGCTAATCAGACTTCCAAGGTAAATGAGGTTGTCGACACGTCCGACTACTTCGCTCCCTATACTCAGTTCAGATGTTGACGCAGGTCAGTCCTAAGGTAGCAAGTTGTATTTAGAGGGGGAGAACCGCATCCCAAACGTCTTGGCATTGTTGCCACCAAAAGACTCTGCAATTTATCAGCATTTTCACTGAACAGGACTATGTCATCTGCGTAATAAGTGGACCTCCTGGTAGGAGATCAATTCCCGAAAATTCAGACGACGAGAACGTTATTTCCAGCAGTAGGTCTATGATGAAGTTGAACAAAAATGGAGATAGTGGACAGCCTTAACGGACACCACTTGGGTTTGCAAAACCAGATGACAGTTCGCCATAGGCTTTGACTCGACTGGTAGTATTCGAGTAACGAGCCTCTAATAAGTTTGGGTACTACTGAGGCACTCCTTTCAATGACATTGTCACAGAACCCCTCGGTCTACAGAGTCGAATGCTGCTCTTGAGTCAAGAAAGACCACCGTTGTCGAACCCCGATAAGCATGCTAGTGTTCTAAGATCTGACGAATGGTAAATATGTGGTCGATGCAGTCACGAAAAGGTCTGAAGCCAGACTGATTTGCTCGTGGTTGCGGTTCACGAATCTTTGTTAGGCGTCCGATAATTATTGAGGCTAGTATTTTAGATGCTATGTTAGTCAAACTAATCTCTCTATGGTTATCACAGGATGATTTTGACCCCTTCTCATATATTGGGACAATCATGGATTACAGCCAGTCAGATGGGATTACATTCAGTTCTCAGATATTAGCTAAAATATTAGTCAACCTAAAACTAGACCAACCTCCTTAAAGACCTCTGGAGTTAGTTCATCTGGACCAGCTGCTCTTTTTTGTTTCAGAATAGCTACGGCTTTTAGAACATCAATTAGAGTCAGGGAGTCTATTTCAATGTTCCATTCATGGTGTTTGGGAATGGTGGGTAGCTGTAAAGTAGCTGATGGCCAGCTGAACTGTCCCTTAAAGTGTTTCACCCATCGTTCTAAACGTCTGAACTGAGAGTAGATAAGTGTCATATTTTTCGGCAATTGTCTCACGCTTGGCTTCTTAATTTCGGTTTCTGTTATTAGTCTGAAAAGCTGTCTTGTGTTACCCACAGTCGCTGCCTTTTTCATCTCTTGCTTTCATCGCCCACCACTGCTTACGACCGTTCCGTAAACTTTTGGTTAGCCTACATCTGATTTTTCTTCGCTCGTCATCGTGTTCAGAGCCCGATGTGGTAAGTTTACGAGTCTACTAGTGCAATGGATGTATCAGAAATCTACTAGTTTTTCAAAACCCTTCCATTCAAATCACCAGTAGATGTAGATGCTGTTTCCACAGCTGTTCGTATATCTTTTCAAGCAACATCTGGGTCAGCCTCGTTTTCTAGATTACCTAAATGTAACTCCAGTTGTTCCTGGAAATTACCTTTGGCTTTCTCGTCGTTGAGTTCAACTCTGATGGGTTTTCTTAATGTGGCTTTTCTGTATCCAGCGAGGCACAAGCGAATGCATGCTCGTATCACAGCATGATCAGAGTGTAAACATGTATTCTAGAACGAACGGCGGTCTCCTACTGATGACTGATGGCAATACGGTCCATTTAAGGCCATTGTTGGTCGGTGCAGGGGGTGACCATGTTAGACGATGTCTTTCCTTATGCTTAAAATTAGTGATTGTTAGAAACAAACGATTATCTGAGCACAGATGCAACACACCGTCATCATTATCTGTTCGCTGGGCCAGAATACCAAGATACACACCTAAATGTTTTTTATTTGGTTTAAAGCTACCTACTCGGGTATGAAAGTCACCTGCAACGATTACAATGTCTGAGCGTCTGAAGAAGTACAAAAAGCTTTCTGTAAGTCATCTTTTACTTCATCTGGGCTGCACTCAGTGAAAGCGTAGGCAGAAACGACGAAATGGCAACGTGTGTCGCTATCCTTCCGAGTTCTTACGAAGCTGTTTAGCCGAACAGCACATGTGTGATTGTTAACGGGGATCCATTCTAATAGTGCTTGTTCTGCCCTCGTACTAAGTGCTATGCCTACACCCACCAGTCCACAAAAACTAGCCATCAGGTCGGCAGATAAATGGAGGGTATATCTAGTTGACTGCCTGTTTTGACTAGGTGAGGTCAAGTCAGTGACCACACTAGGATCCTGTATGCATATTTTGGAGACACATCATACATCAATGGTACGAGATTCTAGGGTCTTAGCCAAGAAGACCTGTTAGCCGACTTAACATAGGGTACGTACGTCGAAGGTTTCAATGTGTAGTTTGAAGCGAGGTTCCAGTAGACCTAAGACAGTATTTCGCGCACTAGAATCGTTGGCTACGGTGACACTTGGGGAGGAAGTTTAGAGTTGACAGTCGAAGTAGGAGGAATAATAGTAATTGAAGAGAGAAATTGATCATCAATACAGTGGTCTTAAGTGCTGTTAGATGTATGAAGGCGGTCATGACTTCACGGTTGTCCACACCGTGGAAGAAAGTTTCTTCTAGAAGTACCTGAAAAGCAAATTCGGTTAGTTGGTCTTAGTACACCGTAACCGGAAAAATACAAAACGACACTAAAACCAAACAGTTTGGATTTTAAGATCTATCTTTAATTTACTCTACTGGAGTAATTATGGTATATTTTTATCAGTAAGCTGAATTATAAGAAAGACCTAGTTTTATTGAATACCACCTGATGAATATGCAAAAATAGGAATAATTTCCAAAACAATTCAAATAATTAGGCGTTCTTACCATAGAAAATGCAAATTGTTGAGTTTGCTTTTGCAACACTTTGATTGAAGTCATCCAGAACATATAATAGTTTCTTAAGGTTTCAAGAAATCAGTATGTAAAAACTAAACCTTTACAATAAAAATCAGTTTACCAATTGTGGATGTGGTTATCCTTTGTACAATAAAAATAATTTGTGTCCATAATCAACCACTATATTCGTAATTAAGATACGTTTGTGGTGAGTCATCAAGCAAAAAATATCGCACACAAGAATGAAGTTGCATTTATACAATAAGTAGAGTTTTCATAGATGAAACTAATTAAATTCCTTTTAGGTAAGGCTAAAGTTTCAAGATTCCCAATTTTCTTTATACAGTCGGATGAATTTCCCGAATAGCACTAAGGACTTCCAGAGACGGTTGTCCATGTACAAATTAAGTACATTTTAAATACATATATGACTGTTTTGTCTAAGCGCATTAGTCAAAATCAGCCTACTCTACCAATCATAATACTGTGAGGTTCCAACATAACTAACTATATGCTAATTCGCGCAAAAACTTCGCAGCCTCGAGAATTTGAATACTAAATACATTAGTTAACAGACTAACAATATAAACCGAAAAAGACCTGAGCAATATCCATAATTTACTGAATGTTTGTTCTGTCCTCAGAAAGCAAATTGCGAATCCTTAAAAACACTAAAGCACATTATTTGACAGCAGGAGACTATAAACCACCCGAACTTAGATTAACGGAAATTGAACAATTTACTATGATTTGATGCTTTCGACGGAAATCTGTAACAGGTTCCGCAAGTAGTTTGGAGATATATAGCGATATTCACAAGTTATTAAATACACAGCTGATTATCGACCGAGAAAAGGTAACTTAAGAGATAACCTGTAGTTGAATAATATACGAGTTAAAGCATCAAATCAACAGTTTATGAAACAAATGTGTACAAGCAGCTGTCAGACAAACTTTGTGAGGAACAGTGACACTCACTGATTACGTATAATAGTTTGGATAAAACGGAGTGGGGTTAACCAAAAAATACCGACTACGTGATCTATGGCAACGAATATCGTCCTCTATGGTACCAATATCTCCGTTAAGTTTATGAGAACGAACGAATAGCCGAAATGTAAAATAACCAAACATCTGGTTCATCATTTACTTTGACTGTATCTTTAATAACCTTAGCATCAGAGAAATAGCCGTACTATTATGACAAGTACCGAATTCAGCAAAACTAGTACATTTTTTAGACTTAATACTGGGTCAGCGGAAACCCGTTGACGAAACTTACAATAAGCAATACACATAGAGCAGGAAGGTAAAACACTAATAGCCTGTGAGGCACTGCACTGACAACTGAAAAGGGATAAAATATTAAAGTTATTGTTGGGCAGCTTAAGGTGCATAGCGTTGAGCCTCCGCCGAACTGTGCTAAATATAATACATTGTCCATGGATCCTTCAGTGTGCAGAATTGAAGTAGGGAAGTAGTCGCAACGAAATCTAGGCTGTAGCCTTGTCGTTTAGAGGAATGGTAGCAATGAAATCCTTCAAAATTTTGTAACATATTGCTAAAAACTAAAGCTGACTTGTATAAGTGAATATTAATATAAATTGATCGATACAATCCTGTGCATATAAACCTAACAGAAACCGCAAATATCGAATGAATAAGCACTTTAGAATCGAGAATCTAGCTATAAGCAATCATGTTAATTTATACTAGTAACCATTCATAATTAGTGAACAAGGTATATATTTACTTTTGTTTGGAGTTTTCTTGCAACTTAGATGTCACTGTCTCGAACATCACAGAAACAATATGTCACTCTTAATTAAGTGAACGCATACTTACCAATAAACACGAAGAATGTGGACCACATCGCTACTGAAATACATAGACACTGTCATCATAACACAGGAATTTAACTAGTCCGCGTGAGACAAACATTATGTTAATCCGATGCACAAGTGAAACTTTCAATATCCAAGAGCATTGTGACAAGCCATAATATGCTAGTTAATTTATCAAGCCCCTCATTCTGACGTAAACAAGCGATTTTCCGTTTTCAAGTTGCTTTTGATGAGAATTTTTACTAAACGCTCGACCCAAGTACTTCTAATGATATTTGTCTTCATTTTTCAGTAATTAGGATAGGTCTATCGAACTATATTAATCCCTGCAGTTTGTAGCACTTAAAGAGGTCCAATCTGGTTTTAAAGATATCAACAGAAGGTGCTGAAATAGCGTATTCTGGTAGAGAATTCCAGTAATTAACTACTCGGTGCTTGATGCGAAACTCGACGTAGACGATTTGATTTTGTCTTTTTGAACTTTCTTGAGGTGTCCTCTCAAATTACCTATCCTATACAGAAGGAAAAGATATGAAATATTACGACCAAGATCATCGTTCAGTATACGATAAGCCAGTATTAGATCACCACGTAATCCACGGTAAGGTAACGAAAATAAGTTAGGGTGTCTCAGACTGTCTTCATAAGATAGGTCAGAGAGAACTTTAACCTCTTTAGTCCCTCATTGCTGGACTCGTTCCAGAATATCCGCCTCATACTTGAGACGGTGACTTTTTTATTAAATTCTATATTCCAAATGCGGTCTTACGAGTCTGGCGAAATACTCTAAACATTTATTCGTCCATGTACTGACATACGCATAACCCACAATACCCTAAAGCCATTGGTGGCAGCAGCATTGCAGTTGCTCATATTTTGAGACTGCTGCTTATTATGACTTCTAAATCCTTACAGTTCATTACTTTAGGTAATACGACTTTACATATTGAGTAGTGATACAAATCATATTATTTAATCGCATCACCATACTCATGTTAAAATTAACTTCTAGTGATCATCATTTCATCCAAGCCACCAATGAATTAAAATCATCTTGTTATACTATTCTGTCTAACAAACAATGTGTAGGGCTCCACGTTTTTACATCACCGACGAAGACTAGAACGGGTGACCTTGATACAGCTGGTAATTCATTTACATAAAGTGAAAAGAGAAGAGGATCAAGAATCGTATCTTGGAGAACTCCAGTTTTACAGGTTCCCACTCTGATAGAGCTCTATTTACCATTATCCAATGTCTCATGTCACTGGGAAAGTTACTTATTCAGTCTATGACCTTATAATAGATTCCAAAACTTTCCAGTTTTAATTTAAAACTTGTATGGAAGACCTTAGATCCTTGAAAATTACATCTACAAGGTTAGTTCGATCTTTTTCTGTAGCCCAATTAACTGTTGCGATGAGCAGATTTGTCAAGCATTATGAGCCTTTTCGAAAACCATGTCATTCCCTGGATAAATTACACCATTCCACATTGTTTGTAATAGCCGTCTGAATAATCTTTCCCATCAGTTTTACAACTGCACTAGTTAGACTAACGGATCGATAGTTACTAAGTCCCTACTTCCCACCTTATACACCGGATTGATTATTGCATCTTTCCAGTCTGTTGGCAGTCTGAACTGCCACAGTTACATGCCAAATAGTACGGCCATAGATTCAGCAATCACAACTGACAGGGCTTTCATAATCCTAGGATGGATATCGTCAGGACCATTGAACTTATCAGGTTTGAGATGCTGAAGCAGTCTTAAAATAGTACCTTTATCAATAACCTCAGGGTCCATCAACAAGTCACCACATTTACAATTAGTCGCTGGTCGTTCCTCATTACTGATAGAAAAGCTTCAGCATTTTCGGCATCGTCTCATACCAATATCTTCTTGTGCCACAAGCGATGGGTCTCCATCACTTCTCTGAGTTCTCCTTTTTATATACGAGAATAACCGTCTCGGACTATTTTTGTAATCGCTGACCAAATTTTTGCACATGACTTTTTAGTCTGACTTACTAACGCCTAACAAGCATTCTTAATCTTACAATAACTGGATCTGTACTGTTCTAAGCCCGTAGAGATGAACATATTTCAATGCTTTGTCTTGCGTCCAAGGAGTTTCTCGATCTGTTTAGTTATTCGTGGCGGATATTTATTCTGTCTACGTGGTACGAGGCATGGTATAAATGAGGACGTAACTGAACTGAGCTTGCCTTTAAATATATACCATGCTATTTCAACTAATGAGCTAGTATTTACTTGCCAGTCTGTTGTTTTGGCTTGCTCTTAAATGGCTGCTATGTTTGCTCTCCATACATTCGGGTGAGGTTTAGCCTGATCGTACATTGTCACAAACTGTTAACGTGAATGACAAGACGGCGATATCGCTGCTCGCTAACGGTGGAAGAATATCAAGAGTGGTAATATTCCCAAGCGCATGAGCGATTACTAAGTCTAAGAAAGACGATCCCTGGTTAGAACCAAAACGTATCGGTTTGGATACATGCTGTACTAAACCGTGCTCTACTGCCATCATTAGGAGCCTCCTACAAAAAGAATATACAGATCCTACGGTGGCCATCTCGATCCAACTACTATCAGGTGAATCAAAGTCTCCTAATATCAAGCATATGTTATTTACACTCCATAGCTGAATGTTCTCTAAAATAAAGTCGTTAGCTAAGCAGATTGTTCTATGATAGGCAACACCGAGTAAAAATTTAGAACGTCTAGTAGTGAGCTCACAGCTAATGACATCACATATCCCACTATCATGGGATTCTGATAAGTCTTGCGGGTTTTGAACGCTATACTCGATTCCTAAGCTATTCTTGAAACCCCCAAGCTAGATCTATAGAGCGATCTGAACACGAGAGAGAAGGCAAAAAGTATGCGAAAAGTACTTTGCTCAAAGATTCATTTCAATACAGAAAACAGAGGGTTTTTATAGTGTTCTAAATGTCCTTGGGCTGCTCGAAGATTCCAGAATGCTACTAAACATATTAGCGGTGTAACAATCAACCAATCAGAATTTCACCCTTGACGTTTTCTGGCTAAACTCCAAGTGGATGCTGATTGGATGAAATGCTTCTTGATGTTTCCTGAACCTTGCGTGTCTTTTGCGACGATTTTTCTGGATCATCCCAACAGATTCACAAGCAAAGAAGCGGATATTTATATTATTGGCTATGTATAAATGGACGCCATCTACTTTCCGACATCTATGTCTTTGATTTCTTAGGTAGTGGTATTCGGATAATTCTGGAGTAATGCTAAAATCGTCCACTAATGCACCTGTTTAGTAAAATTTGTTTCTTAGACTAAGAGCATTTGCATGTTAAACACCTAAGGAGAATGACCTGTCCACATAGGCCTTGGTAGCATTTGCTCTCAAGATCTGACTATTAAAAAACCCACTAAGCAGCGATTTCCCTCATCAATTTGTCGAAGAGTTTCTAGTTTGGTTAGTACCACCTTTCTTTTTATTCCATTTTCCAGAGACATATCGGGTCTTACCCGAATGTCAGTAATTTTGTTACTACGAGCACTGCTTCTTCGACCCTAGGATTACTTTGAGGAGTCAATATGGTCAGATTCCACAGTGTTGTCGGCCCTCTTACATATTCTTACCAATTCTTTGGTCTCAACTCTTTTAGAATCATCTGATAAAATTCTGTAGAATTATGGTCTACTTCGTTGTTAGTACGGCTCTAATAATAGACCAAATCTTAAAATTGTATATTTGTCATGATGTACTGCTTAATCTATAAGTCCCAGCGTTGTCTACACTGAGACATCGTAACCTAACAATCACTAATATGAGATACACAAAACATTTAAACTGGGGATAGACTAATATATTTAGTATGAATGAAATAAGAATGACCACGTCTGCAAAGTTCTCATGCCATCCAGTTCAAACGAATTGAATTTTCTCGTGCTCTCCGTTTCTGATCTTCTCAGTGTGTCAATTATTGAATAAAAATCTTCTCGGTAATTGTATACATTTTCATTTATTTTCAAGGCCGTTCAATCGCAAATATATATATATATACTCGTTTTTCAGGATGATAATAGTTACAATAATACTGATGATGAACTTATGTTGGATATGGTGATATTGGGGTAAAATAAACAAAGGTAGTAAAAAAATTTAGCAAGGAAAACTTAATAATCGTTTGATTGTCAATGGCTTAAGTACTCATCAAAAGATAGAGGGGAAAATTTCATTGGGAAAGTTTGGCTCAGTATGATAAGATAAAATGTTGAGATTGAAATTAAATGTAATCAAGAGAATCCTAGAAACAGGAATAAACCGGTTGAAGGTTGAAGGAGAAACAGATGACTGTTAAGGGAAGAAGAGTATGAAGAGGAAAAAGAAAAAATTATAAGACAATAAGACCATGGTAGAAGAAGAGGTTGTATCAAGTTCTTTTGCACACACAGTTCTGGTTTTCTCAGATATTTGTCTGTTGCTTCGTCAGTGCGAAAAAGATGAAATGTAAGTGTCTTTGGAAAAGTTTGAACTCAGAATCTGTCTTAATTAAGTGCGTAGGTTAGTTTTCAGAAGGTGTGCTGAGAAATATCTGCCCTATATCTAGTTACATCAGTAACCTAACCCTTCAAGTTGAGGAGACTAAAATAATGATGTGAACATCAACACTCCTTGAGAGAGTGCTTTGGGTTATGTGTGTCATAAAGTGCACCGATTGAATTCTGACCAGCGATATACATGCAATACGTAAAAGATAGCCAGTTGCAGCAAATACGTGGGTAAATATGCCTGTATGCATGTGTTTTACCGGAGTTCATATAATGTACTTTTACTCATAAGTTAAGCATACCTATGTGTACGGCAAGGGATGCATGTGTGAAAGCGTATGGGCTACTGGTGTGGGCTACCTACGAGCTTGATTGAGTAATGCATCTCAGACCGCAAATATCCGTAACACTGTATTAACAATGTAGTGAGAATGAAAATATCACCCACTTCCATGCTTCGAGCCAATTTTAGGTTAAGAGAGCTAGTTCAGCTATTAAAGCCACATCCCATCAATGCCCCATCGATTTCACAGC